TACGGAGCTATTAGCTATTAAGCTATCCTTATACGCCTAGCCTAGCTAGCTATCAAGCTATTATCGTACGCCTAGCCAAACCCTTCGTAGCTAGCTATTAAGCTATTATCGTACGCCTAGCTAAACCCTTCGTAGCTAGCTATTAAGCTATTATCGTACGCCTAGCCTAGCTAGCTATTAAGCAATTATCGTACGCCTAGCTAAACCCTTCGTAGCTAGCTATTAAGCAATTATCGTACGCCTAGCCTAGCTAGCTATCAAGCTATTATCGTACGCCTAGCTAAACCCTTCGTAGCTAGCTATTAAGCAATTATCGTACGCCTAGTTAAACCTTTCGACTTTATAAGCACCCCCGACGAGGCACGCACTCTAGTCTACCGCTACTACTTCGCCGCTAACCGCCTAGTTAACGGGGCTATCGTTGTCGGCGGCAAGCGCACTTAGAAGATAAAGCTAGTACCTAAGAGATAAAGCTAGTAAGGAAGGCCTAGATAGTAGATATAGTAGGTTAGATTACTATAAACGAATACAAAAGCTATATTTATTTATTCCTTAGTCGCTATAACCGCTGCCCTTATTTATATCTTAGTTACCGCCTATCGTATCGACTACTTCAACCTCCGCATCGATAAGCTAAGCCTATCTATTAGCACGTTAGATAGCATCGACCTACTTAGAGTCGGTCTTATCGATAGTAGCACCCTATATATTGCTACGATTAGTCGTAGCCTCACGACTAGCCTTAGCAGCCTCTATGTCCTCTACGACCGCATCCGTAACGGTAGAACGACCTTCGAAGTACTCCTTGTTACTTTAGTTAAATATAGCGACCTTCTCGCGGATCTAATCGCTACTAAGCTGCTAGATATCGTCCGACATATGCCTACCGTTATTGCTATACGGAGCTATAAAGCTATCCGAGAATAGCTTCTCTACGCGGCTAAAGACGTTAATAGCCGTATTCTTATAGGTATAGTAACTGCTTAGCTTAATACTAGTAAAGGAGGTTATTATATTACGCAGTATACGAGCCGGCTCGCGGTTAAGTACGATCTTCTTAAAGGTTGCTAGTAGGTTATAAGTCGAGTTACCGATGCGATTAGTGTCTTCTAAGTACTCGTAGTTATAGATCTCGAGCTGCTTATCCGCCGCTATTATATAACCTTTCTTCCTATTAGTAATAATGCTAGAAGATAGAATAGCTTCTTAGAGGACATTATTATAGCCTAGACTAAGTAGCTATCGCTTATATATTATTATCCGACTATAATTTCCCTACTTAGTACCGAGGAAACTAGGGATTAGATAGTCGACGGATCGACGGAGATAACTAATATCTGCGTTGCGGACCCCGAGGCGTAGGGTAAGGAACATCTCAATCTCCTACATTATCCGAGCTATAGTAGTATACTAGGCATTAGGTGCCGGCTCACTAACGCGGTGCGGCAAGCTACGCTATACCTCGATAGATAGGAGCTTCTTATAGATATCCTATACTATCTCTAGGTATTGCTAAGCAGTTAGCCTAGATAGGGCCTCCTTAACTGCATCTATACGGCTCTCCTTACTAGAGATTACAACGCGGCCCTGCTTAGACAACTACTTAATAGCCGCACCGACACTACGAGCCCGGAATATAGTCTTAAGAAGCCGAAGGATCTCGAAGAATTTTAGCTTAGTACTACTAACCTTGTTCTCGCTATACTAGAATATAGCATCGCCCTTTGCTATCTAAGCGCTTAGAAGAGGCTTCCTATCGCTGTTCTTATCCTAGTGCGTACGCAGGACAGTAAATGCACAGTTTATTATAGTATAGAACTAGGCTAGCGACATAAGGAGGCTATCGCGCTTGTCGTACGGGTCCTTATTCTCGACACTCTCGTTACGTACGCTATGCCTACGTACGACGGTTATATTGTCGCTATTCTATATATACAGAGGTCCCTCTAGCCCGCTCGCAAAGTCCTTGTCGCGGTCTAGGTCCTAGAACTTAAGTAGGATCTCGTCCTATATAGCATATATACCCTTAATAGTCGCCTCGTCGTTAAAGGAAATAGGCTACGAATATACCTCTATACGGGCCGGGTCCAACTCATCGATTACTAGCTATACTAGTCGCTTTAGATTACTACCGCTATTCTCGAAAATTGCCTTTACGGCCTCTAGAAACGTATACGCAATAGCCTTATCGATATAGAAGAGCGTAGTCTTAATACTAATATCGGAAACCTCCTCTCTATCCGGTCGTATTGCCTTATCTTTATAGATATTCTTAAAGATGTTATTAGCGTTTAGCGGCTTGTCGTAATAGATTATCTTCTTCTTTAGGCTACCCTTCGGAATACGCTTATTAACGGCTATATACGAGGTAGTTATAGCTACTATCTAGTTAGTATCGCTAGTAGCCTAGTCGGTACGGTTCTATATCCGATTGAAATTGTCGATAGTACTACTATACTGCTTGTCGGGGTAGTTATATAGCTTAGCAATTTGCGTCTCTATATAATTAGCATTCTTGTCTATTAGGATCTAGATAGTCTGATATACTAGAGTAATGTTTAGGTTGTTTAAGACCTCGATCGTACGACGACTCGCACTATTACTAACGAGGAATATTCTAAGGGCCTTTAGAAAGAATAATGCCTTAATATAAGACATAGAATATAGGACTTAAGAGGTTAGCATCGTCGTACGCTTCTATATAACATTACGCTTGTCCGCGAACTTAGTCCGGTACTAGTAATAATCGCGACGCACGTTAGGTAGCAGATCCTAGCCGAGCAACTAATGCTATATAGGAGCGACCTATTAGATAGTATCGTCTATATCTCTAAGGTCGATTTCGAAGTTATAGAACTCCGGTTTGTGTATACTAAACAAATCCTTGCTAATAAGGTTCTTTAGCTTATTACGAACAATACGAGCACTAAACAGGCGATCTTCTAGAAAGGCATCGATAACAGCCTAGAGGTTCTTCTCGTATTGCTTAGAGCGCTTAGTAGTCTTGCGAGTTTTAGCAGACGTAGATGCTTTGTCGCCCGGCTTGCCGACTAAATACTTAATAAAGTAGGTTATACTAACCTTATTCTTTACTATAGTATCCTTTAACTCCTTATAATACTTGTCGAGGAGCCGCTTAAGCGTAACGTCTTTGCTAGCATAGCGTGCAATTTCTAGGGCCTCTTTATCTTTATCCTTATCTTTATCTTTATCTTTATCGCGAGTATCTAACTCCTCGTTACTGCTAGGATCTTCGTCTTCTTCGCTAAGGTCTTTATCTATAGTCTCCGACTCCGACTACTTATCTTCAAAGTCGCTAACCCTAGCTATATCCGCTAGTCGTACAATAGTCTCTAGTATATCGCTTAGGAAGCCGCTTATAGAGTGTATCGGTAATGCTACTATCTGTCTAGGAAGAGGTAGACCGACTAGAGCGTACTAATAACCTAGCTAGCCTAGAAGTAGCGCATTATCTAAATCCTAGTCTATTAGATCGCCGCTATCGTCTTGCTACTAAGGTAGAAGGATTAGATTGCCTTTATCGTCGCAATTATATACCGTTATCTTACTAGAAGGTTCGTTAGACATCTTAAAGGACTCGAGGCCTACTAGCGGTAGTAGCAGCGGTAGTAGCAGCTATAGTAGCAGCGGTAGTAGTAGCGGTCTACTAGCGGTAGTAGTAGCGGTCTGCTAGCGGTAGTAGTAGCGGTAGTGCTAGCAGTCTGCTAGCGGTAGTAGCAGCGGTAGCAGCAGCTATAGTAGTAGCGGTGCTAGTAGCTATAGTAGCAGCGGTGCTAGTAGCTATAGTAGCAGCTATAGTAGTAGTGCTAGTAGCGACTTTTAGGTGTTTTAACCTTAGCTTTAGAGTCGCGTCTACTATATAGTAGCAACTTAACAACTATACCTCGGATAGACTTATACTATATACAAAAGGTGTTTAGAAATAGTCTACGAAGGACCTCGAAGTATCGAGTCGGCTATAGGAAGGTTGTCGATTGCCCTCGAAGGCTATAGAGCGGTTAGTAGGCGTCGGACGGAATTTTCGCCTACCTAAACAATAATTACCGGCGTTAGGAGAAGGACCTCTAAGTATTAGCTAGGCGATGCGGTATGTTATATATTAAGGTGTTTCTAGTAGTGTAGCTAGCCGCCTAGTAATCCGGATAGCTATAGTCGAGTCGGCTTAGCAGAATAGCGAAAACTTAACGCGCTAACGTCGTATAGACTTGTTTAATAGGTAGAATAAAGCGCAATTAGTAGGGCTACAACCTCCGCTATTTAGAATGTCTTATATACGTTATAGTATTATATTAGTATTTAGTAGGCTAGTTTCGTACGGGTTTATATCAGGCTCGTAGGCGAAGAATTAGGTGGAGTGCTCGTAATTAGTTGTCGGTAAGTTCGGAAGCTAGCCCTAATTACTAATCTATCACGTGCACTCGGTCGCAATATAATCCCCATTCATCACCTTCACGCAACTCAATTCTTCATGCCCACGAGCCTGAATGGAGGTAGCACGCATGGCAATCCAAAGTTCTCGTGGATCTAGTAATGAATCGGGCCTAGATTTTTGATGATCTCCTCGAAGGGTCGGCCTAGGTAGACACCAATTAGTTTGCCGAGGATACCGGCGTATTCTAGACTTTGGGGAGGTAATTTGGGGGGATGGAGGGCATTTTGTTCGGGTACGAATAGAGTTAACAGTATTCTACGAATCGAGACACGAGAGAATTGCAAGCTGCATTGCTGTTTGTGCCTGGTATAGATTTTCAGTATGCTCATACGCTGCCAATATTCAGGCAAAACCATCAGCATACTGTAGACTGAAATTCACCATGCATCCCAATCTTTGATAGGTATAGAACGTGACGGGATAGCACCAAGGCAGAGAGACCGCCTGGTGCAACAACTCTGAAATTCTTGTGTATCTACCATGCTGTTCGTGACTGGAATAGAATATCCCCAAACGCCTGCGCTATGGCTTTCAAAGAAGTGTGCCTCTATGGCACGTACAACCTGCTATACGCAGCAATGTCCGTTCGACAACATATGCACTTCGTGTAATTTCGCGCCGCCAACCCAACTCTGCAGTCATCACACATGCTCAGACAGCCGCAAGGCCACACTAAAATGGTGCGTGGCGTAGACTGACACACGACGCATTGAGGTCCACCTTCTCCCATGCCCTCAGCTCCAGATTCCCATGTTCCTGCTCTTTGGGCTTTTGTCTTGGCTTTGGAGCGCTGCGCGAGGATGAATTGCTCAAGGTCGCGCTCTTCATCTTCGTCACTACCGGCATGGGCAACAGACGTGTTCGAATTGCGTAGGCCGGCGAGAAGCTCAGCTCGCGTCCGATCCTGGTTGCGACGATACTGGCTGCGCGTCAATGGACTCGTCGACTGCAAGCTATATGAGAGCAATCTGGCCTCCTCTCGATCTGCGGCAGTCTTGGGGTTGAGGAGACGAGATAGCGAGGCCACGTCCAGCCCGTTGTCCATCGCCGGCGTTCTCTCTCTACTGAAGTAATCACCAGGGAAATCCCGTTGTGTTGGTGTTCGGCGCCCGCTTTCTTCCTCTTCCCAATCGTCTGCCGTGCTTGCATTCGTGGACATTGAAATCATGCTCGTTGTGTCATCATCATCGTCTGCTGAAGCCTGGACGTAGTCGCCGCTCGCGTCTACATCACCAAACCATCCTCCTCTCTGCCACCACTGATAAAGCGTGTCACTTAGGTCCTCCTCATCTTGATACTCACCCTGTCTCGTCATCTTGCGTCTAGTCTCAACTTCGACATCAATGTTCAAGTCGTCTGGCAGCGCGACACTACCATCGTCGCCAGGAAAGTAGAAACTGGTGAATACGCGACGGGTACTCCGAGTATGTGCCGAGGGCTCCCTCTGCTTTTCTGTAAGTCCGGCGGCCTTGAGCAGCCACAATGGACGCTGCACGATGCCGACTTTCCGAAGCAGACCCAGTGCGAATTGTGCTTGAATACTTATGGAAAGCCAGATGATGCCTGCGATGAAGTCGAACGTGAGTTGCATGCGGCTACGTCGTTGCGAGATCCCGAGTCCACTGTCCAGCTCGGTCTGGTTCCGCCTTCGATCGGCAATCTTGGCAGTTTGTGATTTGCGCTCGCGAGCGTAAGGCGATTGACCGATGGCAAAGTTCTGATGATCGACGTAGTTCACACCCCTCGCAATGCCGTCGCCAAGGAGTTCAACCGGAACGGAAGGCCCTTTCCGCTTATCCATACTCATTGCTAGTTCATCAATACGCTTCTGCTCTAACCACGTCATGTTTGCAACATTGATGCGACTTCCTTCGTTCAGATAGACAGCTTCGCTTGCAGCAGTCAATACGTTGAAGCCGACTTTGAGGAGTGTGGTATAAAAGTCTTCAGTCATCTTGATATGAATAGACGAGTTCTGGGAGAATTGGACGTTCGCTTGAAGGTTCTGGTATGCCCATTCGAGTCTCTGTCGTAGAGATCGCCCCGCTGCTGCATCTTTGGGCATGGAAACGACCGTAGCAAGAATCGCCAGACCATAAATCAAAGCGCAGACCAGAGTGCCGATCAACAGAAGGAGATGTGGTATAAAGCCCACAATGCAGACTGTGGGAAAGCGTAGCACTCCTAGGTCACTTATGTGGTCAACGGGATACATGAAAATCTTCGCAAAGCTCCAGACTATCGCCGACATGTAGCAGCAGCCCCAGACTGCGGTATTGACTAGGCGGACGTTGTGACGAATCCCTGCGACAGCGAGCAGAGCACTGCTAAGATGGCTGAAGCATGAAATCAAGCAGACCAGGAGTACCTCCGGAGGCACATTCAGGCGCTGGAGGATTTCTGCGCGGCTGATCAGTGGCCCGTCGCTTGACGAGCTTGGCGAATCGACTTTGGAAAGTCCAAGAAATCCGAAACCAAGTGCACTACTAATCATAGCTTCGCATTCTGCAAAGGCCAAGGAATGCTCAAAGATGGTCATGCCAGTCTCCGGCATGGGTTGTTTGCCTTGCAGGGCGCAAGCCAGGGTTTCGAAGAGCTGACTAGTGCAAAGGGTCAGGAAGAACCAGTAGAGCATTGACATGGAGCCTCGCAGAGCGCTCTTGTCTTCTCCAACGCCGATCAGCGACATGTGTCTAGCATCGCAGCATTCGGCATCGTCCTGCCAGAATAGTAGTGTCGAGCTCAGCTTGTAGAGAAAGCCGCCCTCCGATGCGAAATCAATAGTCAAGTGCTTCAGCGGGTCGCCATAGCGAAGTTGGGCAAAGTTCGGAGACGTCTGGCACTTCAAAGCCTGCAGGATTGAGAGAAGTTGAACAAGAATCGCCGCAATGGGAATCAGATACAGTGCTAAGCGCACGTGGAAGCGCAGTCTCAGATGCTCTCGCGACGAGGCATAGAATTGCGTCCGATTCAGTATTATAGCGACGGTGAAAGTCGTTAGGGCCCACTTCGAGGTCAGGTACGAGAAGATGCCGCCGAAGTTCTTGAGCTTTCCGAAACCATGTGCCACGCTCACGAGGAACGAGCTCGTCTCTTCTCTTTGCGCAAACACCTCGCGGAGTTTCGCATCTAATGTCGCCGCTGTTGTTTGGACGAAGGCGGCACTGGTATTCGAGATTGTAGCGTTTGGCGAGGAAGTAGGATCCGCCAAGACGCTGCCTCCATTCCAGACCTTGCTGGCGATGTTGTCCACTGCTTCGGGCATATGGAAGAGTGCGAATGAGCTCGCTCTCTGCGCTAGCCGTGGCACCACAAGCAGCAGGTCCATAGCAGAGGGAATATACGACACATTGCTGAACTGCTCCATGGCGACGCTGCGTTTGTCTATGCGGTGCGTGCTATTCGGTTGTCTTCTGTGCAGGCGCGAGAAAGGCGGCTACATCGGTAGGAGGGCGTGGGCGTCGGGGACAATGTACGACATTGCGCTGAGCTTGCACAAGGCTGTAGGAGGTGGTGGTGTTGGTAGGGTGGGTGAAATGGGCGGCGGAAGTGATGGAGATGGTGGTGGTGGAGGTTCAGGTGTCGGCTCACGGCTCCGATGCAGGCACGACGATGCCAAGCCTGTCACGCGACGACCATCCGCGAGCAACCCAACCTCACGTCTTCAAGCGACGTCCAACTGGAAGACATTTCTTTTAAGACATTTCTTTTGTCCGCCCATCACGCCTACTCTAACTAGAAGACTACATATGGCTGTGACCTTCCCAGCGCCCGAAAGTCTCATCAGGATGAATCGATGCTACGGAGCCCGCAAGGAAGAGCTTCGAGAAAAGTCCCTCCAAGCCATCAGAAAATGCCGGAACACCCCCAAGATAACACTTTTCCAGGCTCGGAAAATTCTCCCTGCTTAAGGCGTCAACCATCAGATTCCACATTGCAAGAAGAATCGGCTGCTGTGGCTTGCTCAAGATCAATCGTTCCACCCGACACGGCCCACGACCTTTGTCGAGCTTTTTCACGATGGGAATTCGTCTTTCCCTCGCCGAATGTCCCCACCGGATATGCTGAAACTGCAAGGCAAGGCAGCTAAGGCTTGTAAATTTCTGACCATACAGGCTGGCTTGAACGGTCAGCATGTTTCTACAGCAAAGCTTATATGTCCTCATACCTCAAAGCTTCTTCGATGTCCTCACGATACCCCAAAGCAACACGCCATTTTTGGTATATATACTACACTCAAGATACAGTGTCACAATGTCATCGCTCTACTCTCCAGCATCCATTCTGGCAACCCAGTGCTATCAAAAACCGCAACATGGCTTCCTTCAACCGTGAACAGCATGCTCTTGACGCAGATTCGACGACCATGAGACTCTCTTCAATGTCTATATCAACGCCAAGGGCTCGCCAAAACGACAGTCTGAAGCCAAATCGACGCCCAGTGCAGCAACAACTACGCCCGCACCCCAAAGGCTTCACTCCAGACCTGACGCGCACACAGCCTCGTGGCGCTCTCAAAAGACAACGTCTCTCAGCGGCACCCCTTTTCAAACGCGAGATCCGCAACTGCATCATCACGCCCGGCTCAAAACTCGACCGCTGCACCTTAATCGACGTCGCCGTCTCAAGCTGCCACCTAACACGCTGCTCAATCAAAAGCGAAAACCTCACCACCCAACTCCAAAACTGCCTCATAACCGACTGCAAAATCTCCGACGTCGAGATCCACGCCTGCGAGATACAATCTACCTTGGGAGAAAAAATCCACGACGCGACCGAACGACATTTCGATTGCGGCCACGAAGTCTACCGACAAGGAGGCGCATCAACATTGAAACGCTGCGACATCACGCAGACGAAAATTCTGCACGCGCAAGCCAGCCATTGCAGACTCGCCAACGTCGCGGCAAAATACCTCCTCGCCACAACCTGTCAAATCGAGACCTGCCACCTCATGACCTGCGAATTTCGAAAACACTGTATTTCCCTCTCGAATTCCTGCCAAATTTCCGAATCGACAAGTTACATGAACGACAGACCGGATATGGTCGTCACATCTACGGGAAATGATCTCCAACTCCTGAACAAACCCCTCACGCCTCCAACTGCGAACCCATTGGCTCGCAAATATCAAATGGATCCACAGAGTACTCTGTATCCCGCACAGCGGAGAGAGCGAGAGGGGGATATTGATGGTCTTCGATTGCGGCAGGGACTGTTGCCGCTTGCGGACGGACAGGTGGAGGGGCAGAGACGACATATGTTGGATGAGAGGACGGAGGAAGCAGTTGCTGCTGTACATGTGAAGGATTTTCGTGATGCGCTGCGGAACGGGAGGTTTGTGAGTGCGGAGATTGTGGAAAGATGGGATGTCGTTGGGTTTGATAGGTCGAGACATCGATCTTGTTGGCGGAGGATGATGGATGGGGATGAGAATTTTTGAGAAGGGAGGGAGGGGGGAATTTTTGCGATAGTTGAAATGCCTCATTATAGCATCGTATCGCAATCTTCCCATCCATCCCATCTGCATCATCTTCCCTTCGTCCCCATAACCCTCTCAAACAACCCCTCACTCCCATCCCTAACCTGCTCAGGACGCCTCATCCAATCCCACCTCTTCAAACCCTCATCCCCCGACACAAAAAACAAAACCTCCGCAACTTTCGCTCTAACTCTCGGATACGGATTCGTTTTCAGCATGCTCACAAGCTTCTTCAGCGTCTCCTCACGTATAGCATCCACATCCACCAACCCCAAATATACATGCACAGCCGCAAAGATTTTGGGAATGTCGTTGGACTTGTGATGGCTCTTTTGGACAACGGAGAGGAGAGTGCGGAATTTGAATGTGGATGTGGAATTGTGTAGGCGTTGGGGGATTTGCATGTCGAGGAGGAAGGCGAGGAGTTCGAGTGTTGGATGGGTGTTTGTGCTTTCTGAGATTTGATGGGTGAGGATTCGGGTGAAAGTGGTCATGAATTGGTGTAAGGATTCGAGAGGAGCGTCGAGAAGGAGTTCTGTGAGGATTTGGCGGGATGCTTGGAGGAGTGGTTCGGCTGCGATTCCGGCGCACGAAACGCAACCTTTGAGTAAGGCGTCTTGTCTTGCTAGGGCTGCATCTTGGTCATTACCTTGCCTGAGCGTTTCAGTTAACACGATGTCTCGCAGTGCGGCTCTAAAGTACCCCGGAGACGAAACGCTTGCGACATCCGTGATGGCGAGTGATGAAAGGTCGTCGCGGCAGAGGGCGGCTTGAAGTCGGACACGATCCAGTTTCTCCAGCGACAATCTTGCGATCTCGTGTTTTAAAGGTGGTCCAGTGAGCCGGAATGCTGGGATAAGACCGGTGTCGTGATCTGACAGCTTTTGGAAGCATGCAATGCATTGTATACGCACCAGTGAACCGACATCACCTCGTTCGTCGATAGTATAGTCATTGAATCCTTGCCGTAAGGTCGTGCAGATAAGCTCGGTGATGCTGACATCGAATTTTTTGACATCTTTGGTCCTTTCGATGACTAGTCCCAGGGCTGAAGCAGCCGCGACTCGCCAGTCAATATTGATGACGGACATAAGATCACACAAGGTCTTTACAGCAGCTGAAGCTTTGGCGCCGGTCAAGCCATCGTCGTTGTACAGTGTGGCAAGAGTGCCTAGGGCAATAGCTCTGCCTACACCGTGCTTGGTACTTTTGGCGCCCTCGACAGCCACCTGATTGCACAGAACCTGCGCTCCTATACAACGCAGCGGCTCCCCTGCAAGACGCTTCGTATGTAGTAGAATTCTCACAAGCTCAGGAATCTGGTCCAGTATCCATGGCTCGTGCCGCCAAAGCAAACGTTCGGTGATGTCTTCCAGTCCTGCCATATGAACAAGATAGACTTGCGCACTGTCTCGACTTTTTGAAAGAGCGTCAAAGACTCGGCTCCAGACAGCTGTTGCAAGTCGAGCGATGGAACCTGGTAGTTCAGAGCGCAAGAGCCTGGAGAAGAAATCATGCAACGTCGCTTTCAGCTTATCCAGTGATTTGAACGAGAGAGAGATGTCGCTAACCTCGATATCTGAGCTGAATTCATCAATCAAGTCTGCTGCCGCTAGCGCGTAACCATGCAGGTTTTCCACTTCGCAAGAGTCGCTCATAAGAATGCAGCTGAAAGTCTTCTGCAGCAGCTTTGCCAAAGACTGACCCGCTTGGCACATTAGCGGTAGCGCAGATGCCGCCGATTGACGGGACGCAACGTCTGCGGACCACAAGCCTCGCCAGTCAAATAAAGCATCAACCAGGGCATCTGCGTATGTCGGATGCAGTCGAGCTGCGCCAGATGCGACGTCATTCATCGCTCTTCTTCGTAAGCTGACGGCCTGATAGTCGACTGTCTGCACCAATGAGATACCGTGAGAAACCTGATCGGGATGCCTTCCGACCAATTCCTGCAAAGCTGCGGACGAGCCTCTTCTGATGTTGCCAGCAGGATCTAGACATGCCGAGAGCACCAGCTGAGTAGCCATGAGCTGGATGATGGACCTGTCCGTTCCGACTTGATTACTTTGGTGCAAGCCGTGGACCTGCACACGTAGGAGCTCTGCAGTAGTATAGCGACGAGCAAGAGACCAGATTCCGAAATTTGCCGCATCTCTTACATTTGTGCCAAGTAATGTTCCAGTCGCTGTCCTTTGCTGGAATTGGAGTGCGGAGATAAGAGCATCGAATATCTCAGGCAGTTGCTCAGGCGAGGCAGACCTCTTGAAAAGGCTGTGTCCCAGAGCTAACGTCAGTCCATGCCACTTCAGTGGGTCCGCGGTGCTGAAGTCGACAACTGAGGTCGATCTTGGCATATCCTCTTTGAACGAGTCCAACACTGCTTGAATCACTTCGTGACCCATTTCTGAATCAAGCTCTAGAACAACAAGACTGATCGCCTTGGCTGCCGCGTATCTGACAGGCGTGTCTTTCTCGGCCAGAGATCGTAAGAGGTAGTCGATTACATCTTCCAGTACGCCGGATGTTTGAAGAAAGTTTGTCAAGGGGCCGGCTGAGACAGCTGAGCGCACAGACAACATTGAAACATTGCGGAAAAGCTTGATGGCCATCTTTTTGGCCACAGCGTTCGAGCAGAGGGGTGACGCATCCAGGTGATCGAATATCTTGGCGCATGTCTGGTATATCAAGGGCACCAGGTTGACCAGTTCAGACGCCGCAGCTATGCCAGTGACCAGCCGTAAGGACCCAAGGGCCTCATACAGGTTAGAGGCGTTTTCAGCACTCTGCATTTTTGGCAGCCGTTCCTCGACAAGCCGATCTGCCAAGCGCGACCGAAGAACATCGGGTCGAATGCACAGCCTGACGAGTAAGGCTGCAGCAGCATCTTGAGCTTTGGTTGGCGCTGAGAGGTAAAATAGTCCCACCCTAAGGACTCTACATGCCAATGGAGGTAGCTGAGGAACGGGCTTACTACCGCTGTTCAGAGGCCCTCTTGCTGTAGATATGGAGTCCAGGTCGAATGGAGTCAGCAAGAGATGCGACAGCCAAAGCAGAAGTACATATGGCACCTGCCAGGACGTGAGCTGCCCGGGCGCTTCCACCAGAGTTGCCTCAACTGCCTCCAGGACTGATTCCAAATGGCGTGGCTCGTTGTTGAAGAAGCCTACGACAACTTTGTGGCCTCGAACTTTGCAGAAGGTGTACAGAAGACAGCAGACTGCCGTTTCGATGTCATGATGCTGGGATACGTTCTTGGCGCCTCGTCCAGTGTTGTCTGCATAGGCATCAACAATCGGGGGGAGCAACGTCTTCAGCTTCGGGTCGAGCAATTGTGGTTCGCCTTGGAATGGCTCGATCTACGACGCGCCATGAGCTTGTGGTTCTGGGGAAGTCGTGGGCTTCATACAGCATTGACGACGCGGTCAAGATCGCGTCTCTTCACTTTGGTGTGGGCCTGTCTCGGTCTGGGTGGAGTGGATTTCTTCCACAGTAATTTGGGAAGTTCATTCTCGAGATACGCAAGCAGATCAGCTGACGCCTTGACCAGCTTCAAGTCATCTTCCTCTTCGGCATTCTCCATGTTGTGAAGGATGCAGCAGATCAGCAGAAATGATCGAGATGGTGGTGTTTGTTCGTGCTGCGTAGAACGGAGTCTGCATGTGTAGCCTGTGAACTGGCAAGGGTCAAGGCTTGGCAAGATCTGAGATCACTACGCTTCTGTCTTGGGATTTCTTCTCGCTCTCAAATACACAAACACGGCCTTATCATCCTTACCATTCAGAATCGGCGATGCTGCGTACTCCTCTGCCTTTCTCGATAGCAAGACGAAATTTCAGAAATGCCGCATGAGCGATACGTACTGCAAGAAGTCAGGACTTTTGGACATGTTCCCACCCGGTGACTGGATCGCTTGGAGAAAGTGCAGAAAGGAGGTTCGTCGGGCAGAAAGCGAAGGATGTGAGATACCGAGAATGCGAAAAAGTCCAAAGAATCAAGACACGCATTGTTCTGTCATGCATGGTATCATCAACAAAAGCCCATCCAAAATCCGCCCCGCAAACGCCATCCCATGGGCACCAAAATCAAACCATCTCTACAAATCCTCCACCGCGCAATTCGGATGCACAACATACATAACCTTCTCCTCCCTCTCCTCCCCATCCTGCTCCTCCCCCTCATCTCTCAGTCCCTCACCCTGAATCTTCAAAAGCACATGATTCTTCACCATGCGTTTCAAAACCTTCTTAGCCAAACTCTTCTGAGCTTCCAAATCCTCCGGAGTCTCGAGCTGGTCTTCAATTTCTTCTACATACCAAGTCAAAAGCTCCTCTTCTTCCACTCCATCTTCTTGTTCCGCCGCATCGCGATTGACACGACTGAGGAGCTTGTTTTGGATCTTGATGAAGTCGTCGAATTTGATTTGCGTCTTTGCACGTTGGGGAGCTGGGGTTTGAGAGGCGCGCGTTGCTGGTGTGGCGGCTCGTTCTGCGTCCATGGCATCTTCGCCCTCATCGGCAGCACCGGCATCGGCGTCTGCGGGAAGGTCTTCGTCTTCAAATTCGACGTCGTCCTTCTCGACCGAGATGATACTCTGCTGAAGAAGCTTGAAGGCTTCGTCGACGAAGTCTGGCGTGATTTCGTCGACGCAGTTGGCTTTTGCGATGGCTTCGCTGAGACGGATCAGAGACTCGAGTTGACGGACTGTGATACGGTAAGAGTTGCGGCCGACGCCTCCTTGCGCGTCGTCTGATCTCAGTTCCTTGTATTTTTGAACGAGATATGACTTGGCGGTCTCCGTAAAGACAGGCTGGAACAATCGAGCGAAACGGATATAGCGCTGCAGTTGTTCTGTGCTGAATTCTGGGTGGATTGCCTCGTCTTTGTTTTGATGGAGTCCGACAATGTGCTTCGCAAGATGCTCGTCGACTTGCTCGTTGCACTCGTCGAGAACAACGAAGAATAGATCGAAACGAGACATGATGGGCGCGCTCATGTTGATATTGGCTCGGAGAGTAGTCTTGCGGTTATAGCGTCCACCGACGGGGTTGGCTGCTGCGAGAATACTCGTTCGTGCGTTGAGCGTAGCCTGAATGCCGGCTTTCGCAATAGAGATGGTTTGCTGTTCCATAGCTTCGTGGATGGCAACTTGGTCTGCAATGTCCATCTTGTCAAATTCGTCGATAGCGCAAATGCCGTTGTCCGCAAGCATGAGCGCACCAGCTTCGATGGTGAACTCCCCAGTCTCCTCGTCCTTGACTACCGCCGCAGTGAGACCTCCTGCGGATGAAGCTTTACCGGATGTGTAGACTGCTCGCGGTAGGAACGAGCAGATGTACTTCAGGAACTGTGACTTGCTCGTTGATGGATCGCCAACGATGCAGACGTTGATGTCACCACGAAGAGCCATGCCCTCGGGCGTGACTTTGCTGACACCACCCATGAGCTGCAGTAAAAGACCCTTCTTGACGATGGTATGTCCGAACACCATGGGTGCTAGTGAGTCCACGAGCCGCATGTAGATGTTTTCCGATTGCACCATTTCTCGAAGCTCGTCAATCTCTGCGGGTGTCAAAGTGTCGAGATATTCTTGCTGAGCCTTCTCGCCACTGCTACCGTCAAGGCCTTCGCTCTGCTGGTTGAGAGAGCTCATGATGTTTCCAGCCTGGCCCTTCAGTTGCTGGTTCGCGCCTCTGCCTCCTTGAGTCGATGCATCTGGTGTGACCATGTTTGCGAGGAATGCCATTCGGTATGTGAGATCTCGCACACCAAGTGCCTTAAGACCACTGACGCCTCCTCCGCCAGTATCTGATCCGCGTGGAGCTGTTGTATCTCGTACTGCCTGCACTCTTGATCCCGGTACTCTGAACTGGCTGACATCGGGGACCACAATCAAGGTACCTGTGTAGATGCACTTCTCTCCTGCTTTTGCACGCTCGACCATTTCACCGCGAAGAATGACGTCCATTGTCCTCGGCATGCTACCAGTCGGAATTTCCGAGCTGTTCTCTTGAATGCGTACCTTTTGCCAATCGATAAAGGTGCTTTGCCGAATGTCAAGTCTCCATCCCTGTCGATTACCACAAGTCGCGTTGGGGCATTGCGTGGGTTCTGTATATTTGAAGATCTGCTCGACATCCGGGACCACGCTGTTGCATTGCTCACATGTGAATGTGGCTAAATGCAGCTCGGGTCGTACTTCTGAGGTTCTGGTGGCTGTACCGGATATGGACACCAACTTTCCGATCTGCTCTGTTCGCAACTGGCGAATTCTTGAAACTAGCGGAAGGTTATAAAATGCTAGGGTGAAGATCTTGTCGGTCTGCTGGTTTGGCGTCTTGTCGTTGATATCGTCTTCTTCGGTCAAGCTCTGAGTCGCGAGAGAAGTATCGGTTCGTGCAGTGGTGGAGCCCGGTTGCCTATGCATACGATAGTACTGGGGCTCGTATTTGGCAACAAGATTGTTCAGGGCGCGTATCATATATGGCTGAAAGCGGTAGAAGTCGCCCTGAATGGCATTGGCGAGAATGCCTCGTTCGTGATCCATGAGATGCGTGAAATCGACATAGAGCGTGGAGAGATTGAACTGGCAGAGGCCGTGAATCTGCGCAATATAGTACTTGTCTGTAGTCACAGCACTTGAGGTCGGTTGTGCTGAGGATGAAGGGTCCTCTGTGAAGCTGGTCACTGTCAGCAATGCTCGTCTTGCCCATGTCGTCCTCCGCCATACTTGTCCAAGAAACGCTCAAACTGAATTCCAAGCGTTTCTGCAGTTGTATCGACCACGCGCGGCACATCGGCTGCGCCTGTCATCGCTCTTCTCATTCCTCTCCGGCCAACAATCTCGTCGTCTGCAAAGCCTTCAACATCGCTGTGCATGCCTGGAGTGCTCACTGAGGGCGGTCCCCTGGGGCGAGACGAAGACCGGGCCTGCCGTCTTCTCCCTCCTGATGCATCGCTGCGGAAATTTTGTGGTGTTGGTGTTGGCCCATTGTCGGAACCCATAATCGCATCGGCCATCGACGACATCTTGCCGGTGGTGTGGTGGTAAGCTGCAGCGTTTGTTGGAGATGTTCGCAAAACGAGAGGGGAGTTCAATCTTCCACTTTACGCGAGACGCGAGGAGAACGCGACGCGTCGGTCCACACGCGTTTCAACCTCCGACCGCCAAGAAATCGCTATTTTCGGCGTTCTTCAACAGGTCGCCTTTACTGCTTCGATAATATTGCCGCAAAATAGGGTCTTTCAAGGCTAGAAGATTTACGCAGTACTAGATACTTATTCAACTAGTTTGAAGAAATTCTGAATAAGTCGCGTTCACAGACCGAAGATGGGTTCTTGGACGGGCGTGGCCAAAAGTTTCCGAAACAAGCTTGGTCTGCAGGGATTGTCCGGTCCCTGACAAAGACATCGAGCCATTTCTGTGCATTGCGATCCCTCTTACCCCAACGCCTCCTACTACCACCACGCACCTCAATTGCCCGCCGAGATGAGTGCAACGATGACCGTCACCGAGACGCAGTCTCAATCTGCGCAAAATATCCTCAGACTATTTCCTGAAATCAACACGGAACTCGCTGCCCAAACACGATCCGCAACGCAGGATGCCGACCTTGCGGGATACGACGAGGAGCAGATTCGATTGATGGATGAAGTGTGCATTGTGCTGGACAACGATGACCTACCAATCGGAAGTGCCAGCAAGAAAGTGTGCCACCTCATGGAGAACATAAACAAGGGTCTGCTTCATCGCGCTTTCTCCGTCTTCCTCTTCGATTCGCAAGATCGATTACTGCTGCAACAACGAGCTTCCGAGAAGATCACATTCCCAGATCTGTGGACCAACACGTGCTGCTCCCATCCTCTAGGCATCCCTGGCGAGACTGGCTCAACCCTGGATGCAGCTATCATGGGAGTGAAGCGAGCAGCGCAAAGAAAGCTTGATCAAGAGTTGGGAATCAAGGCTGCGCAAGTGCCAATTGAGAAATTCAACTTCTTGACACGGATACACTATCTTGCGCCAAGCGATGGAAAGTGGGGAGAGCACGAGATTGACTACATTCTCTTCATTAAAGCAGATGTGGATGTGCACGCCAACCCGAACGAAGTGCAGGCCACCAAATACGTGCATGCTGATGAGCTCAAGGAGATGTTCAAGGATGACAAGCTCAAGTTCACACCTTGGTTCAAGCTGATTTGCAACAGCATGCTGTTCGAATGGTGGCAGAACCTGAATGGAGGTCTGGAAAAGTACATGAACGAGACGGAGATCAGGCGCATGTGAGGAGGAAGTACTGGATCGGGATTAGGCATTCACGGGTGTTGGCATTAGCATGAGGTTTAGCGATACCACGGAGCGCACGAAGAGCGCTTCACTTCTTGTGAGTAATATCAGTACACCATACGAATTCTACCTTGCCCCTAGCTTTCCCTTTCTTCGGCTCAGAATTTGGAACTCGACTCAGCAGACAGAGCTACAGAAAGGTCATCTCCATTAGGGAGCGGACAGGATCAGCAATGCTACTTAGCATGTGCAGACGCCCAAAGTCTTCGCCACATCTTTCGCGAAATAATACCGCGTTCGAAGCTCGTCGAGGGCCAAACTCTAGCGTACGTACATTGACCAACTCCGGAACACCTTGGTCACAGCTCTTTAGCAAGCCGCATGTCTCATCGCGTGCCATCATCGACTCCTGGTCTACCGCGTTTTATTCTAACCCCCGGCTCTGGCTAGAACTTGGCGATGTCGATAAGATACCTAAATCGGCGAATCTGCAATACGAGTAACGATGGCTGGTGATACGGACAGCTCCAACGCCCATGCACTTCCAAAGGGTGTAACCTGATTGGAATCGAGCAGTCGCTCCAAGACTGACGATAAAACGAAAGTAAAAGAAGAGCCATGATGTCAAATGCGCAGCTTTGAAAAATGATTGCAGTCGGAACACAGACAGCGCGCTGCATCAATTCTAGGAATGTTCCAGTGACATAAAAGAAGCTGTGAAAAATGTGCGGGTTACCCAAAAGTGAGCACCGCGAGCCGGAACGACGCAGGGATGTGGAATGCCAAGCTTTTCATATGCATCACCGTTTCAAGCTGACTAACAATATTTTAGGGTATATAAGCGCAAAGAAATTCTCTTGCAATGTCTCAACATATCAGGCGTATTCACCTATATCAGGCTTGTTTCAGGTCGAATAGGATTCTAAACGATAGATATGCTCTGTAACACCCACCCAACTTTTTTTTGTTCTTGTTTTGCTTGGACAGATAGCGTGCTGCAGCTTCACGCAGAATGGCTATGGGTTCGAAACCCGCGCGGGGAATAAGTTTTGAAACGCGCGTATGGCTGATCTCGGGGAAGGAAGCAGCTTCCTCTGGAAATGGTGGCGATTGCTCCTTCCTCACGATCCACAGCGGCCTAAAACTTCACACCTCGCCTCGATTCTCGCTCCAGTTTCTACCCAATGCTTCCACTAAGGCACCATGGCGCCGACCGTGGCCTCGTCGACACGGGAGCGGTTGAGAAAGATGGCTTTACTCAACCCGCTACCTCTTGCCGGCTCCCAATTCCTTCCTCGCGACGTCTATACGATACCTACAGATGAGCCACCTCGGAGCAATGCACCCGTTGCGAGCAGCGAAAGACGTCCACCACCCGGCTCACAGGACTCACCACTTTCCGAGGACGAATTAGAAGCAGTTTACGGCACCAATATAGCATCATCGCCTCCAAATGTCGCAGCTCATTCCAGACAATCTGGCGCTCTATTCGTCAGCACAGTATCCTCAGCGCCATCGAAATCAGCAGGCGCTCCTCGACCCACCGAGCCAAGGAAGGTACGAAAGACGCCTGCCAAGCATCTACCAGAGAAAGAAGTTGGGAACAAGAAAAAACGTCGTCTTCCGGTGCACGAACTTATGTTAGTGGCGGCACCGGCTCCAGATGTGCTTCATGATCCAGTCAGCCGCTACACCGGTCAAGAGGCACAGGATCCGATAGATGGCACTTCGCACTCCGAGCGGCAATCTAGCGATGAGGAAGGCGCAGGCGTTAAAGCACCGCTCACTTCGATCCGAAAACGGCTCAAGACACCCAAGTTTACACACAGATCCGTAGTCGCTCTCAGAAAGAAGCAACAGCAGCGTGCAACGCCGTTCTTTCCGTCGGCACGGCACACTCACGACCTTGGGGATGGCTTCAGCGCGTTGGAGCGGAAGCCCATAGCACGGCGCCTGGTCACGACTGCAGGACGCACGCCAAAGCCGCTACGACACATCAATGCACTTACGATCGGAACTGGTCCGTTGCCTGGCGTCTCATTCGCGACAAGCAGCAGCTCTGCTCATCGGTCGGATGCCACGTCTCTCGACCGAAAACCACATACTTCTAGCGAGCAACGATCTGAGGGAGCGCTGAGACGGCGGGTCAGTTTCAGCGACGAAGTCTTGGCACGATTGTCCACGATTGCCGCGCCAAGGCGAGCGTATTCGATATCCTCAGAAGAGAGCGAGGAGGAGATCGAGGAGGACGATTTTCTGGACGACGCTTCCGCGAGCTCAGTAGCCTCTGAGCAACCCGAGCGGATGTCGCGTGATCCGTCTCCGAGCGCAGGATCGGTAGGCATTGCATCGAGAAGGCCTATGGGCAAGCGACTCATTGAGGTGAACGAAGCGATTTCCTCCCCTTCTACTTCCGAGAGTGATGGCTGGGCTCAGCTCACTGCGTCCAACACACGACAAAACAGCCGAGCCGCCAATTCGGAGATCAACCTCGACGCGAACAGTCGCTATTTCACCTCAGCTACTCGGATGCTTGGCGAAACTTCCACAAAACCACGAATCATCAAGCAACGCACTTCTGATCGATGGGCTTTGTACTATCACGGCCAGAAGGAGATCCAAGTACCTTATAGCGAATCCCACATCGCTGAGTCGTCGACTGCCATTCGCGAGACCTCACCTGAACCGCAGGACTTCACCTCGCATCAGCTCCGTCTCCTAAAGAGAGGTCCCGCGGCAGATTGGACTTGCCGTATGCCAAAAGGGTCTCGAGACTTGGGAACGCTCACAAGACGTGTAAGTCAAGATCACGGCACCCTGAGCCAAGCAGCAAAGCGGCGGGCGAGTCAAACCGCATTCCGTTCGCCTTCAAAGATACGATGACCTTGTAAGGGATCCAATGGTAGGATGGCCGTTCAGTCACTCGGGGGTGATGTTGGATCTTTATCACAAATTATCGTATATCAATTTATATACTTGGAGACGGATCTAGCTATGGGTGTAAAATGGAAACTTGCTAATTCGCTTTGCACCTTTCGTCTTTTGCGTGCTTTGTCGAAACTTCGTTCCTGGGGTTTTGTATAGTAGTATTCTATCAATACTCATTCCGGGTCCGAGAATGCAAGAGAAATGCCTTCTGCGGCACTCTGCTTTCTGAGGCCAAGAATGGCACAAGAGCAGCGCTGAAGCACGTCGAGAAAATGCAGTCGTCGCTGCTACACAAGGGTAATCGACAAAATAATCGTATTATCTACCCTCGTTAGCCTATAGTAAGTACATCTAATAGCCCTTGCTAATAACGCAAGCTATCTTCTCAATTTCTATCCTCCCTTAATACTAGCTTCGAAAATGCGGTAAAGTAAACGTGTCTTATTCCTACCTATTAAAGCCGCTACCCGGCATTAGTAGTAGGTAAAGGGGAGAGACCTATTATATACCTAAGACTACAACTTCGATATGCTTTTTCTTATATAGGGTAACTTAGAATAAAGTATAGACGAGAACAAACTACCTATTCCTAACTAAGGAATCGAGGTACCTATACCTAACTACCTAGACTACTTCTCCGAATTGCTATTACTTTACTAGTTAGAAGGAGTAAGATTTCTTTACAAATCTCTACGTTGATTTAAGTAGGTAGTTCTAGGTTAGTACTATTATTTAGTAGCTAGTAAGAGGAGAGGGGATGTTTATATACTAAGCTAGAATTACGTCTAGATTACAATATGCCGACACCATTTCTTTGCGAAGATTAGAGGGATATAACCATGCTAGACCTAAAAGGTAAGGGCGTGAGGGTTAAGGTGTGTCTCATAGGGAGAGGTCGTCGGTTTCGAAAGCAGAGGTTAGATTGGTCCAGTGTATCTGATCTGCCATCGCTCGGCGGAGACATGCCTTGCAACCTTCAATATACCGGCTCGTTGTATCTCTCTACAACTGCATCCTGCGTGTGGGAGGAAGGAGGGAATCTTCGTTGTCTGTGAGCTTTTTCAAGGCGGATGCATCGCATCAAGGTGAGCATTGATCTTATCTACGGCCACGCTGTCCTCGCAGATCGGACATGAAGCTTGCTGTTGCCGGGCTCGCTGGTGACTCTCCTCGGACGATGCCAGGCTGAGTCTACGCTTTGCCTTGGGGTCCGCTGCTGGGTCAGACTTGGACAGCCAGCTGTCAATTTTATTCTTCTGCAGCCCAGCTCGCTTCATGCCACTCAGCTTACCGACTTGCTCTTTGGTCATCTCAGGCTCGGCGATCTTCGTGAATATACCCCCGCATTCTTGCACATGCTTGATCCACCACGTGTCGCTCTTTCCAGGTGGACGATTCATGTTGCGCTTGACGAGACCAAAGAATGGCGGCTGCGATTTACATGGACCATCGCATTGCCAGATGTGAGTGCGCTAGCTATCGACTTCATCATGGAAGGTGTGATAGACTGAGACTTCATAACCGCCGTGATTATTGATGGCGTCGGCAAGCATGAGAAAGCCAGCACCATGACCTGTGCCATCATCGCCACGTGAATGCTGCCAAGATGTTGTGATAAAGAAGTATGCGTGAATGCATTCATGCAGTAAAGTATTGAGCACATCGCTGCGAGGTCTGTACTTGAGCAAAGGTTCCGACAGCTTCAGCCGAATCCGTGTATGCTTGTTGCCATTGCTCGGGCCGCGAACAAGCTCACAAATTCCTGGAGGGGCAGGAGGACAAAGTCAGCCTGGCTTTGGAGACAAGAAAGACTTTGGCTGAAATGGACGACTTACCAGCGCAAAGTGTCAGTCGTGAGGACCAGGAAACTTCGACTCTGGATAGCAGCAGCGAGCGAAAGTACAAGACATCATACAGTTCGAATAGCTCATGGATGTCGATGAACGGGTCTTCTGAAGCAAGAATGTGGTCTATCTTCGCTTTGGTGTCCAAAAGTTTTTGGGATGGCGATGTGAAGCTGGAAATGGCATGGATTGCCACATCTTCGTCCGTCAGCGGCATGCTGAGAGCGCGACTGCCATCGCGAAGTCCCCCAGAGTGGAGGATTCTGTCCGAGTCGTGATCTGAGGCTTGAAAGATGCTGTAAGATTAAGGTCAACATTGAGATGGAGATCGGAAGCCGCTGCTCATTACGTAATCTGCCCGGACGTCACGTGTGGAATGAAGTTTCTCCCAGATATGCCTTCAATCTCTCTGCATTGATATGCATCCTGCTCGAAACGGTGCTCTAAACAATGACAACAGGCTCACATAGGTCCTCTTTGTACGCTTCTCCATGCATTATGCCATGCACATAGCTCTCCCCGATAAGCTGCCATCTTTCATTGTCCAGTTGTCGCAGAATCAATGGGACTTTGCCTCCCTGTGCTAGAAGAATGAAATCGCCAGCTTGCATGGCTTTCGGTCCCATACCAAGAGCACCTCCGACAGTAACGAACACCCTTCTGTTGCATATAAGTGGGCAATGACGGCAGCCCATCGACGCCAAGTCCTTTTTGCCAAGGACAATCAATATCCAAGCCCGGAAGAAGCAGAAGACAAGAACAGTGGCCATGACAGCTCCAGATGAACACCAACAGTGCGGTAACCACAAGAAAACCTTGTAGGTGTCTTCGAACTGCGCGTAAAGGGCTTCTTCATCGAAGTAATCTTGGTATAGAACACCGCCAGAGATAATGTGCCAAAAGACGGTAAACCGAGTCTCTTGCGTCAAAGGGTACAGCTCTGCGCTGGAAACTTCGGCCACCTGGCGCCAGGTGAGCCAAGGATAAAGACCATCGAGTATGTCGTTGAAGAAGCCGAACCTCGTCGCACGGGCTGCTGGCTTCGGCGAATAGGGTATTCCGACTGCTTTGACATGATCCCAGAGGACACCCGTCAATTGCAAAGTTCGGTCTCGAGGATTCATGTAGCAGTTGAGTGTGCTTCCCGCTGTGCAAGAGAATTGGGGTCGCCTGTCAAGCGTGTTCCTTGATAGCCGAGATCCCCAGGCAAAAGTCTGGAATGCCATGGTATCATCCTCCCAGGAGAAACGACTGGATATCACCCAAGATGGAAAATCTTCGCCTTTTCCAACTCTGCTTGGCACTATGCTCAAGATGTCCAAGTCGGCACGCTGCTCGATGCAGGCATACGTCGCTTTCACGAGCACATCGGTGGGATTTGCGGCATAATCGGCCTCCATACCGTAGCGCTTTTGTTCTTCAACGAGTCCGAGCATGGCATAGACACGATCGCGAGGATCAGTGTATTGGTAAGCAACGTTTCTAGCAAGAACCGAGGCCAGATCATCACTCTTCGACATATACGCCATTCTCTGGTCGCTCAGTGAATCGTAAGTACTGCGGATGGGTACGAGTAGTTCTTTCGCCATGCTTAGCTCTTCCCAAGAGATGCTGCAGCTGCCGCAGTGCGCTGTCGATGCTTTTGCTGCAGTCACTTCTTGGACAACCCAACCCCGGTGGAACCATGGCTTATCGCACAGCGCCAAAAGACCGTAGAGCGGCGAATCTGAGATGTAGAGCAGCTTTTGTGGCGACGAGAGCAATGCGAAGATCGCATTCGACGATTTCTTGCTCCCTTGCCTCGCCAGATCTCGTGCAAAATCCAGTACCCTAGCCGTAGAAGGCTCTTCCTCGCCCAACCAGATGTTGTTGTGAACGCCTTTGGCATATATGTCCCGCATCATGCTCACTTGCTCTCTCTTCTCAGTGTTCGAAGTTTGATTGATACACAGGGCATCGACCCATAGCGTTCGAGCTTGGTCTGACAGCCGCAGCCTTGTCAGTGCGCTAGCGAGATTTTTTCGAATGCGGACACGCTGCTCGTTAACGATGAGAAACGGGTCATCCTCTGCCGCATCCGACCAGCAATATGATATAGTCTCATATTTACATTCTCCCAGTATCACCGTTCTCAGCTGGCAGGTCAACGGCCCGGTGCCTGAACACAATTCTACAACACGGATGTGGGCTGGGGAAGCTGGCAATGCGCTGTACAAGGCCATTATTGTCGAGGAGTCGAGCCGTAGTACCTGGCGCGCACGTGTTAAATGTCCTGGTTCTGACCAGGTCCATGCATGGAGGTGCCATGTAGACACTTCTTATGTGCAGTGGACGATAGTTAGGGTGTTCAATGCCTTGCGAGAGGGATGGCAGCCGTCCAGTCCTGCTGTAACGTTGCCCCGCTGAAACACAAGAAGGCAACAAGACGCATGCAGGGCGCCTTCATCTTGTCGTTATAGTATATCCAGCAGTCGAAGGATCGGCGGGGCGGAAAGGCTGTGCACTACTGTGATTGGTTCCGCAGCCATAAAGGCAGCCGATATCGCCACCTGAATCAGGCTCCAGGTGCGTATGCAATGCATCCGAGTCACAAGCCACGCGGACGGCCTTCCGCAGCTGTACTGTGAGCAGAATTCGCAATTGGATTGAGATCTATTCTTAGTGATTTGGCTGAGTGATTGAGCGCGGCGCACAGGGACGGGGCGTAGTGACAGTGTGCACCCTTCTCAAGGTGGCGAAGACATTCTAGGCCATCCATTGATGGCATTTTCGATGTGACCAGTCCTCCATGATGATTTAATTGCCCCCGGTAACTTCGTGGCTTGCTTGCTTTTCCGCGGCGTACAGCGACGAGGCGTAGTGACAGTGTGCACCTTTCTCAAGGTGGCGAAGACATTCTGTGCCATCCTCAACGCGCTGCCTAAGGCTGTGAGGATCTCGAAGAAGCCAAGGGCCCTTCAGGCGGTATACCGAGCGGATATTTGGTGAGGCTGCTCTTTAGTGCCTATGTTTCACAGTGGCGATGGTTCTGCCTTGCGGACGTGGGTGAGCGGCGCGGTATGAAGGCTCGATTCCTTTAGCGAGCTCTGGTGGCGAGCATCTCGTCCAGGGTTGGGGGTCTTCTTGTAGATAGTCGGCCGAAAGAAAAACAACAGTACCGCTCGAGAAGTGAGGTCCTTATAGAGCAGAGTGGGTGTTCAGAGCTTTGGGCAGCGTGCGGCTCCACTCCCCATGTCATGTCATCACCGAAGCCTAATCCGAGCTCCTCCATTCTCACGCGAGCTCCAGCAGCCTTCTCGTGAACAATACCATTGAGCTACACACGCAATAATGGTTCTCGAAGAAATAGACCGTCCACGAGACGGCGATCAAGACGCGCCATTCTCCGAATCCTTACCGAATGACGACGTCGACCCATACGCTGGCGATCGTTCTCCCACTATACTAGACAGTCGATCTCCCAGCTACATACCCGTGAACTCGCCGCCGCATCAGGTATACGTCAACCTCAACAACGTACCTCGCCCATGGGGCATTTTAGGTCCTAAAGAGCACTCACCGCCCGTGATTACTGCCATTCAAGGTACCTGCAAACAAGCCTCGGGAATCCTTGGTCGACCTGTGAATCAGCAAGAGGCCGACGCTTTGGCATATCACATGGGGCGGGCGATCAGAATAGGCGGCTACGGACCACCAATTGGTATAGCTATTGGCACTGTGTTGGCATATCGCGGCATTCCAAAGATGAGGTTCCCAGGCTACACTCCGGGCGCGAAATTCAATGCTGAGAAGTTTGGGCCAATTAAAGGCGCACTAGCTAAAAGAATGTGGCAGATGATGAGATTCAATGCATATTGGTTAGTTGGGGCTTTGGTAGGAGACATACTTTTCGGCTCGTACGCGTTGACGGTTGGCTCAACGGCGCGATTGATGGATCCGAGATTGAAAGAGTTTGCCGAGGCGATAAGGACGAGAGCGAAGAATGGCTCGCCCATTGAGGGAAGTGGTGAGAGGGATCACACTGCTGGCCCGAGAAATGGTGAGACTATGGATATGGCAAAGCAGAGGAGAAGGGCACAGGAAGCGCAAGATGCTTGGAGAAGAAGACGGCAGGAAGCGACGGGTCAGGCTTCGGCATCTTCAACGCAGGGCGATGACATGAGCCCGACAGGAGGTGCTTTCGGATCGGAATATCTTGATCTTGGATCAGCACCCGTCACTGACACAGGTATGATGAGCGACGACCAAGTACGACGATCATCACAAAGGCTGGAGGCTCTGCAACGGGCAGACTACGCTGAGAGGAATGAATCCGCACAATCACGTCCACAAACAAGACCACAGAGGACAGAAGAAAAGTCTCAATCCACTCAGAACACTTCGTTGCCAAAGTCAGGAGGCAGTGCATGGGAGCGAATACGGCAGCAGGCTGCGTCCGGAGGTCAGCAGCAGTCAGGGACTAGAAACACTGCGTCGAGTAGGAGTAGCCCAAGCTCTGACAGCTTTTCCTTCTCGTCTAGTGAAGAAGACAAACAGCTTGCTCGCGGTGAAGCTCAAAGAGACTTTGATGCACGGTTAGAGCAGGAGCGCCAAGGCAAGGACTTTAATGACAGAAGCTCCGGTAGGAGATGGTAGCTCCGAAATGTGATGACACAATTCCTTAACGCACGAGAATCTCGCTCTTGAATCACGCAGCGTCTTGTGAACCATTCGACTACGATACATTTACCCAGTCCTAAACTCGGCAAACGATGCAAACACGCCGTGCACATATTCCGCTACAAATTCAGATGTCATTCATTGCCCCATCGTTACTTTTCCGCAGTCTCCAGCTACCTTTCATCTATCCAAAACTTTTCGATGCCCGTCCCACGCAGCATCTACGCCTTAACAACCGCAACCTGACTCCTAACCGGCACATTCTCCTTCCTCCCAGGTTGCGGGAACCCTTCAACCTTCACATGCTTCCGAAAAAGCAAACAATGCGAACTCCCCCCAAAATGAAACATCCCCGTCTCCTGCCCCTTCTCCACCCGCTCCCCCTCCTTAACCGTAATCTCACACGTACTCACCTCATCCATCCCCACGCCAATAAACGCCATAAGGCCAATCGCAGGGTTATCCGCCTCGATGAAAATGATGGCACGCGTGGCCAACGCAGTCAAAAATCCTTGTCCGACACTGATGCCTTCCGCGTTGATTTCCAGCGTGCCGGGTTGCCCGAGTCCTTCGAATAACGGTTCGGAGAAATATGTTCCGTCTTGGACGAAGGCTTTTAGGATTTTTCCTGAGACCGGGGCGTGCCAGCGGTGGTAGGAGAGGGCGGAGAGGAAGGCTTGGTAGACGGTTCCTCCGGCGAATTCTTCTGCGAGAGGGTCGTGGGCGAGCATGTCGCGGACGGAGTAGGGTTGGCCTTTGATCCAGAAGTGGTCGCGGAGTTTTACGTTGTGGGCGACGTTGAAGACTTTGCTTTCGCAGGCGTTGGCGATGATGTTGTCGTCTTTGGGGGAGGCGATGGGGCGGACTTCGTCTTTGAAGCGACGTGTGAAGAAGTCGTCCCAGGATTTGTAGCCGTGGTGTTTGGCTTTGGGGTCTGGGCATTCGAAGAAGTCTTCGAATGTGTGCGAGGTCTGGTAAGGGGCGTTGGCGACTTCCATCATGTCTTTTTTGCCGACGGGTCCTAGCCAGCCGTGTTTGCTGTCGTGGAGGACTTCGGCTGATTTTGGGGATGTGAGAAATTTACCCCATTCGTTGAGAACCTGGGGATTATGTCAGTGAGTTGTCTTCGCAGAATGAAGATTGGGTTGAGATTACCTTCTTCAACATTCTGTTCACATCAGGATCTAAGAAAGCTGCATATCCAGAGGGAGTGCCCATTGGGTAGTCAAGAATTGCACACATGGGCACACCGACCATGCCGACATTGGCGGCGGCATCGATCCATGTTGGTGCAGTGGAGAAAGTGTGGTTGAGGACTTCGAGCAAGTGGTGATAATCACGAACTTGCTTGCGTCCAGTGGGATCCTTGTTGTATGGGTGCTTGACAGGAACTTCCTCAAACATTGCTACAAAGAGCATGTAGACGCGGGTATTGCCTTCGATGAAGTCCTTGAACTCTTGCAGGACAGGGATCAGAGGCTTCTTGTTATGCTTGACATGTTCGACTTGGTTTCCTAACCACTCTTGATGGATACGGTGATCGGCTGGGAGCCAAGCACCAGCCTTCACGACTTTGTGGTCGTCTGAAATGTCGTGGTGATCTCCGTGTTGATGAACCATGATCGCGGTGTTATTATTCAATCAAATTGCCTTTTGTCTTTGGTCTTGTTACTTCCAATGCCAAGGTGAGGGTGGTATTTGAAGCTCACGGCCAAGCTTCGAAATAGCGCATTTAAGTGATGTCACGACTGACAAAGAGTGCGCGTCAGGCCAGAATCGAGAACTTGCAAAGTCGATTGGTTCCACTTACTTCCGCTGCAACCGTACCTGCAGCCACGTTTGTGCTTTTCCGATCAGGTACAGTGCTCGTGATGACGTGGAAACTGCTGGTACGCCTCTTCCAGCTGCAGAGAAGTTGTCATCCACGCAAGCGTGTTGTCAGCAAGCAATAGACAGCTGATTAGGTACTTAGCTTTCTGAAACGGTCGCATTGCATATTCAGGTGAGGAGTGATTGAAGCTATTGAGGAATACACGAAAGTGTTCCTTCTGAAACTTCCAAATGATTGACCCAAACCGTGGGGGTTTGGGACAGAGACGAGTTCCTCAGCAGAGAAGTCATATTCTGTCGATTCCGCGGCCTGATCTCTCGAACAAGAGCTCAAAGATATGATATCTCCAAGCATGAGACCTTCAATAAATACGGCGTAAATCTCGCAGCGCATCAGTCTGTTCCCTTGCATCGGTAGTACCGCAATATGACGATTCCCCACCTTCAGACCAAGATGCACATGTATGCGACAGATGCTGATGATTCGTTCCGGTGCGACGAGCTTCCAACTAGCGAATGCCTCACAGGCTGTACCAGGATGGTCTGATTTTTTCGAAAGAGGGTGCAATGTTCGAAAAGAGAGGGAGGAGAAGTTGGAGAACTTCATGAGGTAGCGCTCAGGCCACCTTGGCACGCCATTCCCCTTCGGGGCTCCCTCCTAAGCGAGGTGGTCTGAGCCATCAATCCCATCACTTCATGTTCCAAGCCAACTTTTTATCTCAGGATCCATAAAGGCCTTTTGCTTCTTAAACAGCATCCTCTTCTCATCGCTGAGGAGTAAGATTGTATCGGGCAGCTTGACATACCTGACACAAATATAGCCCAGAACGAGACCTGGCAAAGGTTTGAGCTGCAAGAACATCAGTCCATAGCCTGATCAAGCAGTGGAGATGCTTGCTGCTATACGAGATCAGTCTTTAACGAGTGGGAATGCCTGTGAGTAGACATCAAGACACGGCAAGGTTTGGTTTGCATCGCGATTGGTCCCGATGTCAAATGACCGCCACTGATATCATGGCCATTCATTTCTGTCAATGGGCAGGAAAACGAGTTCTCCTCGCATTACCTCTGTTCCATCTAGCAGCCCTCAACATCGCTATGGCAGCAATACAAAATCTTTTCATGATTATCTTCCCGCCTGCCGGGAACCGTTCCTGCTAATGCATCGATGTTAGCGGATATCATCATATCTTCCAATATCGATATCTTGATTGCGTCACCCTCAGTTCTCGCGGAAATGGCGGCAGATCGAAAACTTCTCGACACATTGTCAAGCCTTCAGTATGCAGCTTACGGAGGCGGACCACTTCCAGAAACTCGCAAACCACTCGCCATCGACCAAACCGCCAAAGTAGTAATTTTGACTGGATCCACGCGCCCTGTAATCATATCAATGTACGTCTGAAACTCTTCCTTGCACCGAGGGAGATGAAGCCCTCTGCATATTCTATTTTCCGAGAAGGCTCCCTCAAATCCGTGCCACATGAAAATGAAAAAATTCATCTGCAGACGGTAAATTCTAGTCGCTGCAAGCATCCGATGTTCGATCATCGCAATCAAATGGCAGATGTTCGCGGGAACATCCGTGTCGTGGTTAGTTGACCATCAAGGTGACCAGTACAAGTTTAATACGACCTCACTCCTTCCTCTGTCCTGCAATCACGTCTGCACAATGACTTGCCATCACAGAGCTCGGTAATCATGGTTATGAATCCATGCCCGTGCGGTCCTGCAACTGTTGCTGGGGCAAAGAGCTTCATATTCTCCTGCAGTCGATGAGCACGCCGTTCCGGCCAGTGAAGAGCGATGTTGGATCTTATAGCAAGCGACTATATCAAAACTTTCTCTGGCGGTGCTTCGCCTTGAGCTGCTTCGACAACGACACCATCGGTAACAGCAGCCGAACCTGAGATTTCTCGTCGGAAAGCAGAGCCGGTATTCGTCGGCCAAGATCATCTGATCTCGAGCACGCCTTTCCTTCTTCACTGCGATTAGGATTTTAGTATTGGATACCGTGGCGGCATTGTGAAGCCGTTGATCGGGTTGTGCAGGCGGGCAGAGCTCGGGTTCCCTTGCCAAATCCGGGAAGCGGGATCGGATGGCCCGTATTCGACGACAAGAGCATGTCCTCCATTGCGGATGCGCATTGCACCATGGTGCTCATCACGCAAAGAGAAGAGCGAGAGGGGCATTGCATTGGTGATCCATTGGCGGAGCGCTGTATCCTTGTAGAATACCTCCTCCAATTCTTCGGAGGACCGCAATGCAACTTCTGCTGACCCCGCTTGGTTGGCATGAATCCTGGCAACAGCAAAGGTCGCCAAAGCACATAATATTGCTGCGCCATGCCGTCTCCGGACAACTTGCAAGACCGTCATATGTAAAGCCTGAAGGGGTCCTTTCCTCTGAGAATCCCACCAAAGCTGGCCTACTCATCCCCAAGTTTCTGCTTCCCGATGTCTTTCCTGAACATCCACCCAGACCTCAATCAAGGCCTCAAGAAAGGCGATCCGAATTTCACCGGCGGCACACTCGAGTGCCACTGCCCCTCGAACCAGGTCAAAGTGCAGATCAAAGGCAATGTGGCACACAATCACGCATGCGGGTGCTCCAAGTGCTGGAAGCCGGGCGGAGCACTCTTCTCGATTGTCGGCGTAGTTCCGGTGGACAATCTCTCCGTGGTCGCCAACGCCAACAAGCTGCACATCATTGACGCGAATGCCGCCATTCAGCGAAACGCGTGCAAGGAGTGCGGCGTGCATTTGTACGGACGAATCGAGAAGCCACATCCGTTCAAGGGCCTGGATTTCATCCATGTCGAGCTTTCGAAGGAGCAGGGCTGGCAGGAACCGCAGTTCGCGGCTTTTGTCAGCAGTATTCTCGAGCAAGGCTTTGATCCGAACAGAATGCATCAGGTCAGATCGAGATTCAAGGACCTGGGTTTGGAGACCTATGACTGCTTGAGCCCGCCGCTGATGGACGCCATCGCGACGTACACTGCCAAGTCAAGGTGAGTATGCCCCCCCCCGTACAGCTTGAGGTGGTAGCGCCCTTGCTCATGCGAACGAAAGGCTGACCAACGAGCAAACCCAGGCTGTAGAAGGCGACGAGGCTGTGGAGGATGACAAGGCGCCGGAGCCAGTCAAATCTGTGAAGGATGATTCGTCTTCTGGTCAAGGTTGGGGCCGGCTTTGGAAGATGATGGGTATAGTCAAGCGCAACAAGCCACTTTCGAAGCTATAGCAGTTGTAAAAGTTCGGTATGAAGCGCATTCCAAATTCTGCAGACATATCGTCGGTGCAATTTCCCAATCAGCATCATGAAATCACTGTCCAAGAAAGAAAAAAAGAGCAAAAAGAAAAAAAAGCAAAAAGAAAGAAATTCACCCAAAGGTGTTTGTTACTGGTACTTTCATTCCACTATAGAACGCAGCAAGCAAGACTCATACTCCATGATGTATGATACATTTCCAAGCCCACACACATTGGTTGGTCTGGTCTGGGATCCATGTGGCCGTCGTTGACGCTGAGTTAGTAACCTCCGAAGCGGAATGCCTTGAGCACTTCAAAGACACTCTCTCCTCTCGGCCATGTGCTAGGTTCGAGGCGCCATACTACATACTTATCCATCGCTCTCTTGTCCCATGTACGCCGTGTGGGAGAAAAAAAAAGTTCGCAAAAGTGGGTATCGTGTCGTGTCTCGCTTTCTGATCTCTTTCGAACCAGGGAGCGAAGTTTGAAGTCTGCTCGATGCATGAAGCGCTGTGATCGCACTTAATCAAGGAGGATCGCGCCATCGTCCTCCACGATGTAGGCCTCCTGCGGATCGCCCTTGGCTTTCTTTGCTGCGCTTTCAACCTGATCTTCCGCTTCTGCTTCTCTCTTCCGCTTGAGACCAGCAGAATTTGGGTCACCAACAAGCAGAGCATCCGAATCATCGCCGTTATCGACCGAAATTTCTTGGACGTTGGCTTTCGCTGGCTTCGGTGGTAAAGCTAGCGTATCGGGTTGGAGCACAAGGTCATCTTCGCCTTCGAGCTCTTTAGTCTTGACGCTGAGCACAAGGTCAACCTTCGGCTCGTCGCTGTCGTCGACTATGGTTAAAAAGGTGATGTCCTTTCCATCGATGCCCAAATCCTCGTGACGAAGAGGCTTGTTGAGGTTATCGTCGAGATCGGGATCGTAGATGATCTTCTCGCCGAATGTCACGGAGAAGTCCTCGAAACCGCCGCAAGCTTTTACCAGATCGATCAGCTTCTGCAGCGTCGGACTGCTACCTTGCTTGATGATGACTTTTGCGTATGTTGGCGAGCACACAGGGCAGTCTTTGCGGGGTGCTACCAGTGCTTGACTGGTGATCATTCGGTCGGTGTTTTTAGACGTCAGGAAGACCATCTTGCTGCCTCCGAGCAGTGGCTCGGTGGTACCATTCGTTTGCACATTAATCGGAATTTGATTATTTGCGGGCTGCTGGGGGGCATGAGGCCTTGACGTATGGGTGCGCAGAATCTTAAATGCCTCAAACACGCATAGCGAAGCTGTGAGCGCATTTGAGGTAGCAATGGCAGGGATGATATTTCCTGCCATCTGCTTGATGTCCCACTCTGTCTGAAGATCGATGCCGAAAATGTGTGCTCTTAGATTTGCAGCTGATGCGACAAAATCGAGTGTGTCCTTGTCGTCCTTGTCGAACTCTATCGCCGTTTCTCCATCCGCAACACGCTTGCTGAGCTTGGCGATGCTATGGCAGAAGACCTTGAGATTGTCCAAGAGAGTCCACACGTACTGATCTTGCGTAGCAAGCTCTTCCCCATGCTTCTCGGGATTCGCATCGATGCAGACAACCTCAAATTGCAGAGACTCGGGTGCCTTGCGACTCTGCCACATTTCCTTCATTGACCGCAATCGCTCGATGTCGTCGTGATAGACCTTGTTGAACACGGCCTTCGCGAAGTTCTCCTGGCCCATCATGCCTCGAATCTTCTTCAGGGCCTCAGCCTCCTCTTTCAACTTCGCGACTTCTTCAGCATTGTCACCGTCTGTCACGGCCACGTCGGAAGAGTCGTCTTCGCTGGTGCCGAATAGCTCGGGTAGCAGGTAGGACTTTGCCCACACAATGCAATGGATTGGCTGTGATGGAGTAGATCGGATGGTGCAGATAGGGAATGACTTCTGGACGGGCTTCTCGTTGCAGTCATAGCATTCCGTCACACCCTTCTTGATTGCCTGCACCTGGCCGTTGAAACCAGTCGTGCCGCTTTCTATCAGTGGCACATCAGCCGCGAGACACATGCGATTCACATGTCGTCGCGCGGCCAGATTGTCGAGCGCATTGAAAACCATGTCAAATCCTTCGTAGAAATCGACATCATACTGTGAATCGAAGATGGACGCGTGGTGTGCGTCAATGTTCGCATTTGGGTTGAACTGGCTTGCAGTTTCCTTCGCGACAAATGCCTTCGGCTTCTTAATGTGCTGTTTTCGAAACAGGAACTGCCGATTCAGATTGCTCAGGTCGATGGTATCCAGGTCAATGACCACAATCTCCGCCTTCTTTCCACTGGCAGACTCCGACTGAGCTGCTTGTTGCGCGCCTTCTGCCGCTTGTGTAATCCTCAATCCAGTGCCGAATCCACAGCACACCAAGTTCTTCAACACCTCACATCCAATGCCGCCGGCGCCAACAAGTAGTACTCGGCTCTCCTTGACTTTCTTGGTAAGTTCTATACCGAGTGATTTCGCGATGCCGCGCTCGCGGCGCTGCATGATGGCGGTGTTCGATTGAAGTCGCGATGGTGCTCTTGTAATCGGACGTGGTTGTTGCGAAAAGGATGCGCTGCTCTGCGGCTCAGCAGCGGCTGCAATTCCGAGCTTCACTCCTGCAGCTCACTTTCGTAATCGCATGTGAAGTTTTGGGAGCAAGCATCGGGCGAGAGCGTGGCTGCTGTGGGGAATGAGTGTGGGTCGAGCTGGTCTTGGTGATAAGGAGGTAGATGCTGTCAGAGAGAGAGTTGCGAGACGCGCCAGGAAGGTTTGACGTTGCGCAGCGACGGTATGGCCCGGTGCATGAAGCCACGGGATGCAGGGATGGAGAAATAACGGCTTCGAAAGCAACCGGTGCAGCGTCCACCAGGAATCACACCTGTAGCAAACATCCAATGGCTTGCACGACTCTGTCATCATCACCATCAACACAAGGCAGTCGCGCTCCGGTCTGGTCACTTGGCGCAGTCCGGCAATAATATGAGCGACGACGAGGCAGACCCTGAGTTGCTGGAACTCCTCCGCCAAAGACTGGGCATCTCTTCACGACCCAGGGATGAAATCTCAAGCGACACAGGTAGGTGGCCATTAGTACCGTACCATCAACGATTGACTGCTGTACTGGGGTATCGCCCGTTCATGCTTGAAGACTGACGAGAATCGTACAGGCGTTCTCCGTAACGCTGAGTTCATCTACAATAATGCCATCGATGTGTCGATTGACATGTACGGCACGAAAGCGGCGGCAGAGAGCATTTATCAGATGATGCAAGAACGCGGATACTCGACGGAGACCTGGAGTCAGCATGAACTCCATCCCAAGATGAGTGAAGGGTTTACGGAACTCGACATCGTCAACTTTGTCTTTACGATGGACTTGCAGAATTATTCGTGAGAGGTGTAGATTTCCAATGCTGCTATGGTATGCTGATCGAGATGCATAGCTTTTGGTCTGAACTTCCGAGCGAAGAACGATACCAAGTGGAGTATAGAGGTAGAAGATGGACTGGCTACAACAGCTTAGTGGCCTGCTTGCGACGAGCACTGGACGAGGGCATTCCTATTACTACGCCGCGCTTCTGGCGGAGTCGGCAATGCACAGACGAACTGCTGAGACGTGTCTTTCGCTCTGCCACGGCAGAGCCAATTCCCTTGCTTGATGACCGAATTGAAATGCTTCGAGAGTCGAGTGACATATTGCGCCGGGTATGGAGATTCTGTACTGACGCGAGATGGTTTTTTGCTAATGATATAGGCATTCCCTGGAGACGAGGACGAGTACGAAGACGCAGACGAAGTTGTCATCGGCGCAGAGGAGCAATCCCAGCCGCCGAGCAACGGTGTGATAGATGCTGCAGAGGACAGGCTGAACAACGAGATGGAGCACGGTTCCGCTCCGATGGGAGTCGACTCAACACGTCCAGATCAGACTGATGATGTCGTAACGAATGGACATGTTGAAGCGCTCTCCGGCGAAGTCGACCATCTGCACATTGCCGAGGCGGCCAGATTAGAAGACCTGCCGGAGATTGACGCTGCTTCTGGGGAAGGCAGCGGTACAAGGTCGAACGAAGCAGAACTTCAGAACGGCATGGACACATCACATCAAGCTGACTTCATCAGCACACAAGTTGCTGCATCGAACGAAAATGTAGCACCACAGAGCGACGCCGTGCACAGTGCCGCGCCTGCATCGGAAGCACCGACCGAGACCCGACCAGCAGAGCAGCAGCCGGACTATGCTGTTATGCGGCTCATCCAGAAAAGCGACGGGTCGGCTGGCAAGCTAGTCAATTTGCTGGCTCACCACTTCCCTTGCTTCCGTGACGAGACACGATTCGAGGGGCGCAGAGTGCGGCTCCTCAAACGTGCGCAGATCTTGGTGGCTGACTTGTGGGCGGCGTTGAATGGCAGTGGACTGGGTGAACTCCACGATATTGATCACTTGACCATGTTTGCAGGTGCGTGCAAGCTCAGGGCAGCGCGGCTATGTGCAGTTCGATGTCGCTTTGCGATCAAGCGCGCATGGCGGTGATGCTGACGATGCCGATATCCATTCATTCCTTAGTCGCTACAACCGCTGCCCTTATCCACATCTCAATTACCGCCTGTCGCATCGACTTCTTCATCTGCAGTCTCCGACTCCGACTGCTCATCTTCGAAGTCGCCAACCCTAGGCATATCCGCTGGTCGTACGATAGTCTCTAGTACATCGCTTAGGAAGCCGCTTGTAGAGTGCATCGGCAATGCTGCTGTCTGTCTAGGAAGAGGTGGACCGACTAGAGCGTGCTAATAACCTAGCTGGCCTGGAAGTGGCGCATCATCTGAATCCTGGTCTATTGGATCGCCGCTATCGTCTTGCTGCTAAGGCGGAAGGATTGGATTGCCTTCATCGTCGTAATCATATACCGTCATCTCACTAGAAGGTTCGTTAGACATCTTAAAGGACTCGAGGCCTAGCAGCGGTGGTGGCAGCGGTGGTGCCAGCGGTCTGCCAGCTGTGGTGGCAGCGGTGGTGGCAGCTGTGGTGGCAGCGGTGGTGGCAGCGGTGGTGGCAGCGGTCTGCCAGCTGTGGTGGCAGCGGTCTGCCAGCTGTGGTGGCAGCTGTGGTGGCAGCGGTGGTGGCAGCGGTGGTGGCAGCGGTGGTGGCAGCGGTCTGCCAGCGGTCTGCCAGCGGTGGTGGCAGCGGTGGTGGCAGCGGTCTGCCAGCGGTGGTGGCAGCGGTGGTAGCAGCGGTCTGCCAGCGGTAGTGGCAGCTGTAGTGGCAGCTGTAGTGGTGGTGCTAGCAGCGACTTTTGGGTGTTTTGACCTTGGCTTTAGAGTCGCGTCTGCTATATAGCAGCAACTCAACAACCACACCTCGGATAGACTTATACTGTACACAAAAGGTGTTCAGAAATGGTCTACGAAGGACCTCGAAGTATCGAGTCGGCTGTAGGAAGGTTGTCGATTGCCCTCGAAGGCTATAGAGCGGTTGGTAGGCGTCGGACGGAATTTTCGCCTACCTAAACAATAATCACCGGCGTTAGGAGAAGGACCTCTAAGTATTAGCTAGGCGATGCGGTGTATTATATATTGAGGTGTTTCTGGCAGTGCAGCCAGCCGCCTAGCAATCCGGACAGCTATAGTCGAGTCGGCTTAGCAGAATAGCGAAAACTCAACGCGCTAACGTCGTATAGACTTTTTTGATAGGTAGAATGAAGCGCAATTAGCAGGGCTACAACCTCCGCTATTCAGAATATCTTGTATACGTTGTAGTGTTATATTAGTATTTAGCAGGCTGGTTTCGTACGGGTTTATATTAGGCTCGTAGGCGAAGAATTAGGTAGAGTGCTCGTAATTAGTTGTCGGTAAGTTCGGAAGCTAGCCCTAATTACTAATCTATTACGTGCACTCGGTCGCAATATAATCCCTATCTACTATACATCTACGTAACTTAATTCTTTATTATACCTACGAGCCTAAATAGAGGTAGAGTATAGCTAGAAGATTGTATTATTAAAGGAAAACCCGAGTAGAAGAAACTGCTCGTATAGTAATTTGATGTTTGAAAGAGCCGTTAATTTCGCATATTACGTAGATTTTAGGCGCGCGGATAATACCTAAAGGTATAGAAACAGTAGATTAGACTTAGTCGTTTTAATGTTAGTAATGCAAAGGAGAATAAAGAGGATTGCGTAAATTCGAGGAAAGGATAGGGATGTCGAGTCCCGCTAAGATCCTAGATTTACTATAGTAGGGTGCCCGATTAGTAGGAAGTAGTATCGCGACTTCTTCCTTCTCTATATCGCGACCTCGACTTTTACTCTACCTAGCAAATTCGATAATATATCGCAATACGAACGACGAACATAGTCTCTAGAGTCTCGAATCTATATAACTACGATATAGTCTACGTATACCGAGAGCATAGCTTATATCGACGCGTCCGGGAGTTCTACCTAGACGAGGAAGATATAACGACGAAAAAGATAAGACGAAGACGGGTATAAAACGGATACGTACGAGGTGTGCGCGTAAGAGCGACATAGTAGAAGTGCTATATATTATAAGAGCGATTACTAGCATCCCTTACGGCCCTTATGAATCTACTAGTCTTCCTCCGATATAACTAGCATATCTACTTAGCGACTATAACCTAGAGAGCTAGGTAGAGAGAGACCTATTATTCGTATACTAGCTAGCGTTAAGGAACGATTGCGGCGAAGGATACGACTACTAGTCTCCTTAGCTGTACGAGAGATAGTACTTAGAATGTGCTCTGCTTCGTTAGCAGTTCTCTCTAACGTAGGATCTATACGACGACGACCTTTACCGCGGCGGTTGCTCTAGCTTATAGCTAGCGACCTAGATGCAGTACGCTTGTCTCGTGCATTGCTTGCCTCTCCTATTATAATATTATCGCTACTAGCAGCGGCGATTGCGGCACTAGCGACAGCACTAGCGGTGATCGGGGCTGTTAGTTAAGTCGGGAAGGCTTATACTTATTAGTTGAGTCGATAACTGCGACGGCTAGTCTCTGCTCGAGCAGAGCTAGTAATGCCGTCTCTTAGAGCCTAGCGTGCCGTAGCTTGCTCTTCTAGTAATAGCGCTAGTGCGGTCGGCAGAGTAGACGGTTGTATTTAGCCTTGCTAGTTGTTGTTGTTACGAGCGGCATCTAGTGCTGCTTAAGTAGCTTCCTCTACGGCCTTTTCCGTAGCAGCCTTTTCCGCCTTGCGCTTGTTCTCTATATCGATACGCGCTCGCTACTTTGCAATAACATCTAGACCGATGCGCTTAATCTCGGCAATTAGGTCGTTAAGCTAAAATAGCTGCTCGTGCTACGCGATGTCCTTCGAGAACTAGTCTATAAATTCTAGCGACTTCTACTATAGCAGCGCTTAACTAACGGTTATATTCTCCTCCTACGCCTCTAGCGAGTTTGTAGCAGTAAAGACGTTGCAGATGCTCTAAAGCTTGCGGTCCTCTAAGGTATATATCGAAGGCAGGTCGAATATGCACCGGTTAGACTAGCCTAGCTACTTTCTCTAAGCGCTATAGGAGCTATACTAAGCTTAAAGTATAGAGAATCCGAGAGCTTAACGAGTCTTCTTACTAGGAGGCTTGAACTTATTAGACTCTGCGCCTGCTAGTAGCTCTTAGCGATATATATCGTTAAGCTTAGGATTGTAGGCGTTATAGTAGTCCTTCTTATCGACTAGAGGCTAAGGGTACATAACCTTGTATTCGCCTAGGTACCGAAGTAGGACTTAACGTAGATACAATCTATCTTAGCGATAGCGATTATTCTATACTTCGAACTAGATGCGAGGAACCTTATTGCGCTTCTTTATCTTATCGACTGTCTAGTAGTCTAGGTTTTCCTCTCCTTTATCTTCTTCTTCGTCTTTATCTTCGGGGTACGTAGCATCCTCTCCTAGCAGCTTAGATTAGCGGAGGCCTAATAGTCGGAATAGTATATACGAGCCTCGACGACGAAGTACACGGATTGCCGGGTAGTTAGACTATAGCTTTAGCTGCTTAATGCTATCGTTAATGTAGTACGGCAAGAAGATAAAAGCTATACTTCGCTTGCCGATCTGCGTAAGAGCGCGACTAATACGACCGAGGCGCTAGACTACATCCTCGATATCCTTAGTAATAGGAAATTCGATCTAGCTATATAACTTAATGTCTAGGACATTTAGACCGACGCTAAAGGCAGTGGTAGCGATTATAATGCGGATCCGAGATAGGCCTTCTATATAATCTACAGTCTTTACAAACTAGTTATATCGACGCTTCTAGTCGCGCTTAGCTATACCGCTAGTATAGAAAGACACGGCCGTGTATACGTTGTACCTAGTATTGTCCTAAGTGTATCGCTTCTTAGGATCCTAGTACTCCGTAGTAGCGGCAACTAACTAGTATCGGATAATATTAGCTACTTCTTAAATAGCCTTCCGACTATCGATAAAGAATAGTGCCTTCTTAATGTTCTATAGTGTAGCCGCTTTAGTTATAGGATCGACTGCGCCCTCGGTAAGGAAGTAGAGATACTAATACGGCGTCTTTAGCTTTAGCGGTATCGTACGGAGGATATATATAGTATCCGGGCGATTAACACTACTGCGGAGGATCTTAGTATAGTATAGCTCGTTGCTAATCGGACGGAAGCTACTATGCTTAAGAACGAAGTCTTTAGTCTCTTTAGACATAGTTATAGAGCATCCGAGCTAGACTATATCGGTGCGGAGGAGCTTACGTAGAGAGAAGATTTGCGTATACTCCTTGCGAAAGTCTTTCCACTTGCTAATTAAGTGCGCTTTATCAATTACAACTAGGCCTGCAAGGTATTAGCTAGATGCTATAAGAAGTGACTAGATAAGGATATATACCAATTCGCGCGCGGACCTTAGGATTACGTATAGCCTCGCGAAATTCCGGGCTCGCACTAGTCTCTAGACTTAGCATTAAATAATGGAATTTGCCGTCCGTAATATGCTTGTACAGGTTCGGATCCAAGCTCTTTATATCGCTAGTAATGTTAATAGCGTTTACTAACATCTTTAGCTTATCGGAGGTGTTGAAGCTATCTACCTGCTCCTTACTAAGGCGATTAAGCGGTGTGAATTAGAGAGTGATCTAGCCTGTAGCTTGTTAGTACGAGGTCTCCGACAATCTAGCATATAGCAGCAATATATACCCGTTAGCAAGGTGAAGCCCTAGAAAGTCAGACTCTTGCCCTCTCTAGTCTTAGAGATCTGCACTATATCGGAGCATCCGAACACTAGAGCATAAAGCGAGTCGGTCTGAACCTTACGCGGCTTGAAGCCTTTTCCTAGATGCAACTTGTCGAGGACCTTAATTAGGCCTTGTTCGATAATGTCTCGATAAATAGGGACAGCTTCTAGACAGGCAGCGGCATCGTAAACGAGTTAGCGGAGCTGTTCGATGCTTAGCGGATCGGTAGCATCGTTAATCTGCCTATAGCGCTGCTTAAAGAAGGCCTTGTATTGCGACTTCCTATTAGGCTACTAGATCGGGGGTAAGTAGCTGAAATCTAGGCGCTCTCGAGTAACTGCGGCACGGCTAGGTAATTAAGCTAGGAAGACTTACGCTTTATTAGATTTGCTAGCATTCTATCGAGTCTTACGTCTCTTATTAGCCCTAACATTCTTCTGCTTACGCGCCTTCTTATAGGAATTCTTAGGAAGTACTATCTTAGGCGCTAGTATAGAATAAGCAGAGATAGCGGAGGTCGAGTAGTAGCGGCGATACTGCTTTATACCGGAGGTCGAGTGTTAAGAAGGATAGCGATAGCGATTACCGAATAACGAAGGCGGAGGCTAAAGTGTAGAAGTTAAGCAAGAACTTAAGAAGTTAAGAAGTGTAGAATATTAGGAGCGCGGACTAAACGAAGCTAAAGAACGCGTCGCGTTTATATATAAAGGAGCACGGACGTGCAGGCGGGAGCATATACTAGTCGCTTGTTAACACCCGTACCGCTTCTTTAATCTTCTTCTAGAAGGCGGCGACGGTGAGGTCGGCTGCCCTCTGTCCGACACATACATTACGATACCTAGTAACACTAGGTCTACAACGCCGTACGAGAGTGTGTTAGTGTGTGCTTTATAGTGCTACTAGAACGCATATAAGAGAAAGGGTGCTTTTTATAGATTTGCTAGCCCTAGTCCGCTCGTAGGTAGCAAAGGAAGTTGTTTTTAGATATTCTAAATGCTAGCGGTTCTCGAGATAACCTATGCGAAGGGCCGTATATATTTTGTTTAATGCCTTTAGCGTAGTTGGACATTAAGTAGTATAAGGGAGGGTAGAAGTATACAGCATAAGCAATCTCAAACCTTAGAATATCGCTCGTATACCTCGCATTCGTTAAATTGACATATACTTTGTATAGACGAAACGATAGATCGTAATTTTCCGCAGGACCCTTTTTTTTTAGTTTGTTATATTAATCTGTAGTTGTATGTATACAAAATGTCTTCTGCGTTGTATAAGCATACTGCCTACTACCCTATACGGTTTGGTTTTAGGCGCTTCGCTATAGGCTCGCGTAGACAACCTAAGGCACTAATATTATATAAGACCTAGCAAGAATAGTAACAAGCACGTACAGTAGATACAAGGAAAGAACACGTCGTTACAATGTCTACGTAAGAGACTTAGCAAGCGCCTGTATAGAGGTAGGCTATACTACTTAAAACGACCAAAAATCTAGATCCCGAAGATCTCGGAAATCGAAAAAATCGGCTAAATAAGGCGCGCGGATAATACCTAGGTAGCAAAAATCGGCTAAATAAGGCGCGCGGATAATACTATATTAGTATGCTATTATAGAATCGACAGATTATAGCGCGCGGATCTTACTACAATAGCGTACTATTATAGAATCGACAGATTAAGGCGCGCGGATCTTACTATAATACTATGTCCTATAACTAAGCGTCAACTCCGATCTGCGAGCGACATTACTAAGCGACAGGATTTATACACTAAGGATAGAGGATCTATAGGACAAGAGATAGAAGACAAAAGCATATTGAAGGTAGGTAGAGATAGTAGTATCATTTCAATATCTCAAGAATCTATATACTTATAGTTAGCGACTCTACGATATCGATAGCGGCCGCACTTCTTGTTTAGCGCACTACTATTATGTGCTGCCTTGCCCTCCTTAGTATAGACACGATAAGTATGCCCTAAGCGGATATAGCGCTTGTAGGTAGGAATACGTAGCTCTCTATTATCTGTCTCTTCGATCCGGCCGATATACGTTAATCTAATCTACGTCTCGTTTGAGCTCTGCGCCTATAGCTTTACAGACTTAGAATAGTAGGCATTTTCAGCCTCTAGGCAGCGTAGCGCAATGCGTAGTCTACTTAGACCCTTCTTTTTCTTCTTCTTCTTCGTCGCAGCCTAAGTTAGTAGTACTAGTGCTAGAGTAGGAGTAGGTACTAGCGGTAGTAGTGCCCTAGTTGTAGTTGCTAAAGTCGAAGTTAGAGGCGGCGGAGCAGGTAGAGAGACAGGAGGCAGACCTTAGCGAGAGCGATCTTGCTACCGACGTGCCTACGCACTTAGACTAGAGCGGCGAGATAGTACTACTAGAGCTAGAGCCGGAGCTGCATTAACGATACTAAGACATATTAGCTACTACTTAAATAGAGCGACACTCGAAAGCATATAAGTCTAGTACGTTAACATCCCAAACCGAGAAGTCTTGCTATTACTGTTGCTACTATTATAGTAGTTGTAGAGGCGCCTACGCCCTAGAAGATAGGAAGTCGATCGCAAAGTCTACGATATTATTAAATTCTTAGTTAGATATAGTAGCGACGGCGAGGTATTGAAGGTAGGATAGTGTCTATATCGCTAAAGAAGAAAGGAAAGAAGGAAGAAGAACGAGTGCGAAGTTATATACATTCGGCTACTATTATTAGACCGAGTATTACAACAACCTCACTTTGCTATTGTTATAGCCCTCAACCTAGCTTAGCATACTAGCTTACAATGGCTTCGCTTCCTATTGTTAAGCACTCTATATAGCCTTAGGCTGATATAATCTCGCTATATCGTTAATATTATATTAGCCGCTAAGATCTAGGACCTCTGCCTTAATTAGCTCGTGCTAGCTATCTCTACGCTTAATCGCACCCTCCTAGGTAGTGCTAGGCTTATTAATAGCCGTATCTTCGGGATCTCTAACATCGTTAGCTTAACGGAATGTAGCGGCAGCCTCTATATCCGGTACTAGCGTATCGGAGATAGTAGTACGGCCCTCGAAGAAGTTCTTATTGCTCTCGTTGAAGTTAGCTACCTTCTCTGAAATCTAAAGGCCTCTAATCTGCTGAATATTATCGGATATATTGCCGCCTAGGTTGCCGAATAGTCGAATAACACCGTCTAAATACAACTTCTTAGCCCGGCTAAAGACATCAATAGATGTATCCTTATAGGTATAGTAGCTGCTAGGCTTGATGCTACTAAAATTAGTTATTATGCTACGGAGCACTCGCGACGGCTCGCGGTTAAGAGCAACCTTTCTAAAAGTCGCATTAAGGTTATAAGTCGAGTTTGCTAGGCGGTTAATGTCTTAGGTATACTCGTAGTTGTAGAGCTCGAGGGCTTTATTAGCCCTAACAGCATAACCCTTATTGCCGTTTAAAGACACTACACTCGATATAAGTAGAGCATCTTGTACTTCTTAGTCCAAGCCGGGACCTAGCAGCTAGCGCTTATAAATTATCATTCGACCGTAATTGCCCTAGCGGGTACTAAAGAAGTGCGGGATTAGGAAGTCTACGATGCGGCGAAGATATCTAGTGTCTATATTGCGGATCGATAAGCGGAGGGTAAGGAACAGCTCGATTTCCTTTATTATTCGACATATAGTAATATACTATAGGTTAGGCTCTTAACCGCGGATGGGTCTACTACGCTACGCCGCTACAGATAGGGTCTCCTCGTAGATCTTCTCGACTATACTAAGGTACTACTTCAGAGTTAGCTGCCTAAGAGCATCGCTAACGATCTCTATGCGGTTGTCCTTCCCTGCTAATACTATACGGTCCTTATCTTTAAGCTAGTCGATTACCTTACTACCGACCCGCGAACGGAAGCCTGCTTTTAGTAAGTTCTAGATCTCGAAGAACTTTAGATTGTCCCTACTAACCTTATTCTCGCCGTACTAGAAGGTAGTATCGTTCTTTGTAGTCTGTAGAGGTAGGAGTAGCTCGCCCTTACTATTCTTCTCCTAGTAGGTCTTCGTGATAGTATAGGCTAGGTTTATAAGCGTATAGAACTATGCTAGAGAGCTTAGGATTGAATCGTACTTGTCGTATAGATCCTCGTTCTTAACGCTCTCGTTGCGAATACTATAAGTACGTAGGACGGTCATATTGTTACCGTTAGTAATAAGCAGCGGTCCTTCTAGTCTACTGTTGAAGTCCTTCTCGCGATCTAGATCTATAAAGTCGAGCAGCAAGTTGTCTAGGACTAAGCGAGTGCCCTTAGTCGTCGACTCGTCGTTAAAAGATACAGGTATAGAGAAGAGTTTAGTCCGCTCCGGATCCATCTTATCTAATACTAGCTAAGCAGGCCGCAGTACAGGATCCGGACTATCTCCGCTATCGTCTACGGTAGCAGCAGCCTCTTCCTCCTTAAAGATTGCCTTTACAACATCCGGCTAGATATATGCGATAGCCTAATCGATATAGTACATTGCGGTCTTCTTGCTAATATCCGTAACCTTACTATTTAGACCGAATGCCTTATCCTCGAAGATATTGTTAAAGATTTCGTCTAGGTTTAGAGGTCTATCGTAATAGATTATCTTCTTCTTTAAGCCGCCCTTAGGGATACGCTTGTTCTTAGCAATATATAAGGTTGTTATGCTTATTATCTTATTCGTATCGCTAGTGCGCTAGACGGTCTTCTTCTGCATCTTGTTGTAATTATCTTAGGTAATATAATACTGCCTGCTTAGATTATTGGCTAATTCTACAATGCGGAGCATCGATATCTCCGCATTCTTTGCTATAAGGATCTGGATAGTCTTGTACGCAGGCACTAGACCGAGGATATTCAGACACTTAACCTGCCTACGACTCGCTCCGTTGCTGACTAAGAAGATGCCTAGATTCTTAGGAAAGTATAAGGCTCGAACGTACGCAATAGAATATAGCACCTACGAGGTTATTATCGTCGTGCGCTTACGGATAGTGTCTCTCTTGTCCTAGAACTTAGCCTAGTAATCCTTGTAGTCGCGACGGCTATTCGGTAACAGCTCTTTAGTTACTAGGCGATACCAATTCGGGGCGGTTATACGGATCGTATCGTCTATCTTGTTTAGATCTAACTCCTTGTCGCTAAAGTCTAGATTATAGGTGCCGAAGAAGTCCTTGCTAATTAGGTCTTTCAACTTATTCCGAACGACTCGAGCGCTAAATAGACGGTCGTGTAGCAGAGCATCAAAGATCGCTTGTAGACCCTTCTTATACTTCTTCGAGCGTTGCGTTATCTTTAGAGCTGTACTAGCACTAGCATTAGCTCCGCTACGCCCGCCTGCTAAAGAAGCCCTACCTAGTAGGCGACCGCGGCTACGAGGACGACTACGTCCTGTACTAGAGCCTTCTCTAGGATCGTTGGCGGCACGCTTCTTGCTAGGCTTACCGAGAATGTGCTAGATCAGCTGAGCGAGGCTAACCTTATCCTTCGTCATTTGAGCTTTAATAGCTTTACACTTCTCAGCGATAGAACGCTTAGCAGCTCTAGTAGCGAACGAGTCTCTAGAGGCAGCGAGGCGCTCTTTATCGTACATTTCAAGCTCTTTCTCTAGCATTTCTCTTGTTAAAGAAAGAGCTTTAGGGACCAAACACAAGGCCAAAGGAAGACAAGTTAAAGGGAAAGAAACAAAGCCTAGCAGAATCAATTGCTAGACACCTATAGGAGCAGGAATGGAATAAAAAAAGCAAATAATAGATTAAATAAAAAACTAGAGAACAAAGTAAATAATAAACTAAATAATAAGCTAATTAATAGACTAAATAATAAGCTAGTACTAAACTAAGTAGTAAGATAGAAAACAAGTAAGAAATAAGGACACGAATAAGAGGACTTAGACGTATCAGAAAAAAAGAAAACATATAATAAAAATAAATAAGAAAATATAAAATAGGTAAGTAAAACAAGTAAGATACTAAATAGAAAAACTGTAAAACATTAAAGAAAAAAATTAAAAATAGTTTGTTTAATAATATAAAAAGTAGTAATAGATATAAAAAATTAGAGAAAACTAGAATAAAAGTAAGTAATATATATGAAGTTAAAAATAATAAAGTAGTATCTAAAATACTAGAAA